TTTCAGGACAGTAAATAACCAGCCCTGTCCAGCAGTGTTTGTGCAGCAAGGCAATCAGCAAAAAACGTTTTCACTTGTCAAGTGGGATCATGTGGCTGATGCAGTCCTGGTTCTGCCATGTCTTAGCTGGGTAAACACCAGCGTGCAAGCCGTAAAATTGGGATATCTCTTACCTTACAGTTGTTCCTGTAAAAATTAGACACTGACATGTCTGTCACATCATCTTGCTTAAAGGATGGCAGCTCCTAGAGCAAACATTAAGGAAAGACAGGTTGAACTTGAAGTTTAAAGAAACTAAAGTAACAGGGTGGAAATTTACATGTATCCTATGGGCTGAAAGAGTCATTGCTTCAACGTATAAGGCAGTGACAGGATGAAAATAATGCTTTCGATTAATCTGAATCTAGGTGGATGATACGTAAGTGGTCACTGCATTATTCTCTCAGCTTTTCTGAATGGCTAACATTTTTCAAAGTATAAGTTTTTATTTTTTAAAAAACTTGATTATTGGCCAGGCGTGGTGGCTCACGCCTGTAATCCCAGCACTTTGGGAGGCCGAGGCAGGCAGATCACGAGGTCAGGAGATGGAGACCATCCTGGCTAACACAGTGAAACCCCATCTCTACTAAAAATACAAAAAAATTAGCCAGGCATGGTGGCGGGCGCCTGTAGTCCCAGTTGCTGGGGAGGCTGAGGCAGGAGAATGGCGTGAACCTGGGAGGCAGAGCTTGCAGTGAGCCGAGATCACGCCACTGCACTCCAGCCTGGGCAACAGAGGGAGACTCTGTCTCAAAAAAAACCAAAAACCAAAAAACAAAACAAAAAACAAACAAAAAAACTTGATTATTTTCTGCTTCCTCCTGCAATAATTTAGGTTCAACTGAGGTCTCTGTTGTTCATGGCTATATCCTCAGCAACTCAGTACATGACACACAGCAGAGATGACCAATAAACTATTGTCTAACAGTTCAAACAAGTGAAAAGGGCCAGAACTATGGTTACAGCAGTTTGTGTGGGAAGATAGGGGTCCATGCCAAAGTTTTTCCAAAGTAATTTGGTGATTTGGATATAGACTAGCAATGCAAACTCAGGTGATGGGAGATTGGTAGAACCAATTGCAGGAGGTTAGAAAATATGCAGATTTTAGGAAAAACGTATTTTACATCCCTGGATTACAGGAAGGGAGTAGGCCAATGAAGTGCAGAACTAAAACTTGACAAAAGTTTTAGAGCAATTTAGCTAGCATGGATTGCTGAGGTTAGCAAAGTAAAAGGTTTTTCAAGAAAGATGAAGGACCTTATCTTCCCACTCTATGAGGAGCAGAAACTGAAAAATGACCTTCTTTGTATAACAGTGCCATTCCGAAATTAAGTAATAGTTTTTGAGGGTCTAGAGTGGAGTCACAAATTAGCTACTGTAAAGTTAGTTTGCCTGTAGATAATTTTGTTTGGACAGGTTAATTCTAGCCTGTTTAACAACTGTCAACATTTAAAAATCAGAAGCTACATAAAAATTCTGATTCTTTAATTCTTTCAAATACCAGGCAGATGGTCAACCTTGTCTTCATTTTAACAGGCGGAATGGGATGAAGCTGAGTAAATGCTGCTGCCTTTAAATGACTCCAATTCACTACCCAATTTGTCTCATTTGTGATATTCACCTGGACCCTGTAGGTATTAGAGTTTGCAATTCCTGGTCTAATGGTATTATGTCAGCTTTAATGAAAATGGTAAGAATAAAACCAGTAACAGCAGTAATAGTGCACTGAGCATTTAGTTGCAGGCACTGTTCTAAGTATACCACAGAGATCACCCACCATTTGAGGGAGGTGCTATAATTGTACCATTGTACAGGTAAAAAAACTAAGAGGTTCAAAGACCTGCCTAAATGTCAACAGCCGGAAAGTGGTAATGGTGAGATTAAAATTCCAGTCAGACTTAATTTACAGTTGCCAAATAGTATTCAAATTAAATGGTACTAAGTTACTCTATATGAAACCTGAGTCCTTTCCTAAAAGCAGATACCTCCATTTCAGCCACAGGAACTTGTGCTCTTTTCTGCAGTATATACACAGACATGGAAACCTCTGTGTGACTTTGGGTTGTTATCTCATTGCCTCTTTTACCTGTGCCTAAGATGATCTGAAATGAACTCAATAGCTTAGTTTCTCACCATAAATCATGAACTTTGGGTGGCGGGAGGGGAAGGTGGGAATGGTAGAGACTTGTCTTCATTTTTATGTCTAGTAAACACAAAATGCATAGATACAATTAACCAACTTCAAGAAGCTGAAGTTTTAATTGGAGATATGCAATAGACTCAGAGGTTTTTAACGAGGTTTAGTAATATGTAGGTGAGTACAAATGGAAGTTGCAGAGCATGTTCAGGGCTGAGGGTACACGAGATCACAATGAGAGCCAGGAATACCATTTGGAGATGTTTCCATGAGTGTTTCAAAGTGTGTAATGTGAAAATGTCCATGTTAAGGGAACAGGTTTCCAAGACGTCACACTGGGCACTCTGTGCTCTCTCCTAAAGTATCAGTGGGTATTAAAGTTTGCTTGGCTGAGGAAACATTCCATGGAATATACACAGAACAGAATGAAAGAACTTGAAAGATCAGACAGAAAGGACATTTGACTACACTGGAAAAAGTGAGAATTGGTTTGGAAAACAAAGGCATCAGGATTCTAAAAAAAATCTATGGGGAAGATTTTAATCTGCTAATCTATGAGGTTTTTTTGCCGGGGTGGGGGTGGGGGTGGGGGATTACATATCAGTTAAGTCAAAATGAAAATGGTGTAAACAAAGCAAGTCAAGAATAAAAACCTCACTCATAACTATCATGGGTAGCCAAAACCTTTGTTTCTGATAATACATTTGAGAAATGTGAAGTAGTGGTATAAGACACAGGAAGTAGGTTGCTTTAGCTAATAGGATATGTACATCTGGGAAACAGGTACTATGATAGAAGTGATGGAAAATTACTCTGTCACACCTTGACTCCAAAACAATCAATTCATTTTGCTGTGCTGCTACTTTAACACATTTTTTTTTAAACTATAAACGGCATTACAGACGGAAAGAAGCAATCAGAATGAACCAGTTGGAGCCTGAATTTTCTTCCAAATCTTTGCTGTATGCTGTGAAAAAAGAAAACTGCTGAATGCCCACTGTGTTACAAGCTACTCTAGGGCCTTTGACTTCATTATTTCATATAATTATCACTACAACTGTGTAAGGTAGACAGAAGTATTTTAAAGATGAATCAGAAGGTCAGAAAAGTGAAATAATTTGCCTAAGTTCACACAGCTGCTAAGAGACAGAGGTGATTCTCAAATCCTTCTCTCTGGCTTTTATTCATCCTCCCGTTGTGCTTTGGAATGAAGATGATCTGAGTTAAATCCTACTACTTACCAACTTGGTGGCCTGAGCCTAATTAATTTCTTTGGACTCCAGTCTCCTCTTCTGTGATGTGGGAAGACAATACCAATTCCCCTGGGGTTGTTTTGAAAGAATTAAATTTGTTGATTTGTTCATTTATCCATTCAAATGACAGATCATGGAATGGGGGAAGTAAAGAAATGCTGGGGCAGGGATTGGTAACTGATTATAACAAAGTCAATGGATCAGAAGGTTTGCTGAGGTGAAAGGATTTCTAGAATAGTGGTACTAAAGCAGGTGAACTGCTTGGGAAGTGGCCAAAGTATGATGCTTCAAGAAGGGATATCAGAGGTGGTATGATTTGAAAGCCAACCTAAAGGGGATGAAAGTGGGAGTAGGTAGCTAGGGATGTAGAATTAGAACTTTGGAAGCAAGGAAATTGAGAAGCGGAAACGGAATGAGCATGCAAAGTATCTAGAATTCAGTTGATCCTTAAAATGCTAACCCTAAAAATAGTGTAAAAATACAGAACTAGCAAACACAGGCAACATGTTACTTGTTTACACATTAGAAGGATGAAGGTGAAAAATCTTCCTGAGTGGCAGACAGTACATATGAATACATCATAGTTGACGCTGTAGAAATGCATTTTGAAGGCAGAACAGCATAGCTCCTCAATCCAGCTTCTAGTCTCCGCTTCTGATATAACTCACTTATACTAAAAATATTTCTGCTAGAGGTAGTTAGGTATTAATTGCTTGTATAAGAGTATACAAAATAGTGAGGAGAACACACACATAAGACAAAACACAAATTAAGTAGAATAGGAAATGTAAACAAAAATTTCCAGGCAATATTTGCTATCAAAAAACATCTGTATTTCAGCTGTTCCAAAAAACATCTGTATTTCAGCTGTTCTTTCTGCCTACATAGTTCTTCCCAAGGAATTCACATGTCTCAAGTCCTCACTGTTCAGATATCTGGGCAAGCATCACCTCATCAGAGAACTGCTCTGACTGTTCTCACTCAGTCTTGCCTTTCTCTGCTTTACTTTTCTTCATAGCACTTATCACTACTGGATATATCACATATTTATTTATTTTTGTCTGTTTACCATCTCCCACCCCTGAACTGTAAGTCCCAAAGAGCAGAGACTCTGTTCACTGTTTTATCTCTAGTACCTAAAACAAACCTGAGCAAACAGTAGAAGCTTAATACATATTAATAACATTTTAAAAATAATCTAATAACTCTAAGGTCTTAAGCACTTAATAAAATGAATGGGTTCCCATTTTTACATGTAAAAGTCATAAACTAAGGTTAAAGTGGCGAAAACAAACTAAAATTTCTAGTCTACTGTTTTTTACTTTTTACCAACCCTGAAGATGAGGATTCAGGTAAAAAAAATAAACTATTTCTCTTAGGGCTCATGGCCCACATGTTTGTTAAATCCAATTTGCTCAGCTTGTAGTTCTGTGGAATGCACTGTCCATGATAGTCCCTTCCAATGAGACCAAATTTTAACCAACACAAAGGGAAAAAACACTAAAAGGAATGTATCCAAGCTGTCTCATTCAAATGAATGCTTTTTGTGAGTTGGTGGGGAGGAGAGAATATTTATTTACATGAATTTTATTGTTATTTATATTCAAGTTAAACAACAAAAATAGGAAACATTTTGAATAAGCATATGCCCAAAAACTAAACATTAAAATGGTGGTCCCACTATTCCTGAAACCAAACATTGGCTAAAATGAACTATATGCACCTTTAAGGTGAGCAAACAAAAGAAGTCTATATTTAGCAAGGAAGGTCAAATGTTTGTCAGCAAGTCTAAGATCTTAGAGGAAATATTTATTTCAAAAATAGTAACTAATGTCATATTAATTAATCGGTTAACAGTTACAATGATGGAAACCCTTAAAATTCGTATAAAAACCAGAAATTACAGTTAGGCTGCTTGCATATTTCACAACTATATGTTTGCCAGTGATCTATTAATCTAAACTAAAAATTAAATACACATTAATTCATCAACAGTGATATAACTTCAAGGCTGAGAAAAATGCACTAATCACAAAGAATTTCAATTAAATGATATCAAGGAGTCCAGAGAGAAGAAATTTCCTGTGGGAGAAGTTCTAATTATAAACTGTGTATTGGTTTAAAGACTAACATACACCTAGCTTTACCAACACTTGTGAAAAAAATTACACATTACATACTTTGTTCAAAGCCTAATATGAAAATTGTAATAAATCCTCTACTTGAAAAAAAAAGTGACCACCTGAAAAATATTCATAACATCTCATTAACAAAGCAAAAATGTTAAACTGAAAAGGTTCACCTGTTTTGGTCTTCAGTTACAAACAAAAAAGCACTGATAATTCACTATAACAGCTTCTTAAACAATTCAAAAAAATATTTTGTCAATTGAAAAAACATCACTGAATCAATGAGCATTTGATCATTTTATTCACAAAATATAAGCAAGACTTACATCCCTTTCTAGTGAATCTTTTCAAATAATTTTATGTATAGGGCCTTGAGATGTATCAATTATAAAACATGTTAAAATGAAAACATTTTTTAAATTTACAAATACAAACCAGTACTTTATACAAGAATTCTCTATAAAGTTTGTCAATCAAAGTAAAAAATAATTTGTTTCAACTGAATATAAGGCATGTCCAGTTTATGTCATTTTGTAGAATTATTTTTGTTTTGTTGGAGACTTTTCTCTTCGCCGGTCCTGATTTTTCTTTGATTCTCTGGATTGTTCAGAGTATCTGCTAGATTTTTCCCATCGTCTCTCGGCACCATTTTGATATCTATCTTCATCACTTCTTGAGTCTGAGTGCTTTCTATTCATTTCCCTTGACTTTGATCTATCTTTTCTTCTGAAATTTTCACTGTCTTTATTTCGGTATCTATGCTTCTCATTTTCAGAAAAAGAATTTCTTCTCTCTCCTCTCTTCTTTTTGGGATCACCATACTTATTTTCTAAATCTATATGCATTTCTTGGTCTCTGTCATTCACAACTCTATTGTAGTTATTTCGTTCAGAAGGAACATCTTTGTCTGATGTGTACTTTGTTATAGGATCTCTCCAATTTGAATCTCTTGAATTTTGATCTCTGTGTTTTTCTGACCTTTCTCTCTCAGTCCTTGTTTCCTGGTGCCTGTGTTCCTGTCTTCTTTCTTTTTGTTTCCTATCATTTGTTTGCTGGTTTCTGATCAATTTATCTACTTCTTTACTTCTGGTCTTTCCATGTCCCTTCTTTCTTACATCATTAGCTGCATGTGTAAAATAAAAGACAGTTAGCTTTTATTTCAATCTTAATTTCATAATTATAACAATCACATTTACCGATACACTGTAGGTTTATTAACTCAGATAAACTGGATGCAAAGCCAAATTGATTGAATAGAAAGTCTGATGACACAGGGTCTTACCAAATGCTTAATTTTTTTTTTTTTTTTTTTTTTGAGATGGAGTCTCGTTGTGTCGCCCAGGCTGGAGTGCAGTGGCCAGATCTCAGCTCACTGCAAGCTCCGCCTCCCGGGTTTACGCCATTCTCCTGCCTCAGCCTCCTGAGTAGCTGGGACTACATTAGCTGGGACTACAGGCGCCCGCCACCTCGCCCAGCTAGTTTTTTGTATTTTTTAGTAGAGACGGGGTTTCACCGTGTTAGCCAGGATGGTCTCGATCTCCTGACCTCGTGATCCGCCCATCTCGGCCTCCCAAAGTGCTGGGATTACAGGCTTGAGCCACTGCGCCCGGCCTTTTTTTTTTTTTTTTGAGACAGTTTTGCTCTTGTTGCCCAGGCTGGATTGCAATGGCACAATCTCGGCTCCGCCTCCTGGGTTCAAGCAATTCTCTTGCCTCAGCCTCCCGAATAGCTAGGATTATAGGTATCTGCCACCATGTCTGGCTAATTTTTGTATTTTTAGTAGAGACAGGGTTTCTCCACGTTGGTCAGGCTGGTCTCGAACTCCCGACCTCAGGTGATCTGCCCGCCTCTGCCTTTTAAGAATATACAATATTTCAAGCCAGGTGCAGTGGCTCATGCCTGTAATCCCAGCACACTGGGAAGCAGAGTGGGTGGGGGACAGATTGCTTGAGCCCAGAAGTTGGAGACCAGCTTGGGTAACATAGTGAAACTCCTTCTCTACAAAAAATTCAAAAATTAGCCAGCTGTGGTGGCATGAGCCTGTAGTCTCAGCTACTCAGGAGCCTGAGGTGGGAGGATCAACTGAGCCTGGGAGGCAAAGGTTGCAGTAAGCCAAGAATGCACCACTGCACTCCAGCCTGGGTAACAAAGTGGGACTCTGTCACCAAAAAAAAAAAAAAAAAAAAAAAAAGGGAAGGGGAGGGGAGGGAGGAAGGGGAATATATAGTATCTCAACATGAGTTACTAAAGTAGTGTTTTGATTTTTAGATTTAAGACAGTAAACAGAAATTTTATAGCAAATGTAAAAATTTTAGAAAGTGACTCAAATGGTACATTTCTACTTATCAAATTTAATTCAAAAACTGAAATTCCAGCCCATAGTGTGTTATTCATAGGAATATTATGTGAGATCAAAATACAATGATCACCCAAACTAGCATTCACTTCCTAAACATAGGAGGAGTAGAACAACTGGGTTTGCTCAACAGCATGAATATGTATTTCTCAATGAAAGGCCTCTTCCTGTAAAAACAACACTTCTCCCCTCTGGTTATCAGAGAAGTACCAACAAGAGCAGACAAGTTAAAATCTTAAGATTACAAGTTAAGATTACAGGCTTTATTAGAGACACAAAGGCTTAATTTCTGAAGAAACTCTTCTGAAAAGACCTCGAACAATTTGATTTTGCTGATATAATCACAACTATAAATACAAAATGGTTATACTGAAATAACTTACCACTTTAAGCAATACAACAAATTTAATCAGTTTATCTGTTATTTAATTTGGGTGCATAAATCAAAGATGCTAACAAAAATTTCTGTCAAATTCATACATATGCAAGAAAGAGAAAATATGATAGAAAAGTGCCTCTTGTCACCCTAACTCTACCTAAATCTCACTGTACCAGCCTCTATTTCTTCCACTAAATGCCTATCTTTGGCACATGGTACGGTCAGTTGGTTTGCCACTAAGGACCTATTTCTCTGGTTCCTATCAAACAGCTCAGCTGAGCTGCAGCTACCCAAGCAGAAACCATCTGGCTCTGTGCTAAACCAATGTCCCCCTGATTCTACTGTACACCACTGTCAGGCTTTACTGATATTAAAACCCAGTCATATAACAACAGGCAATCTCTTCTCCCTTTGCTATATTTGCATTATGGTTTCCTAATTTTGGGGCAGTTCATACAGCTTTTATGCTATTTAATATTTTATTAATAAAACAAAGTTCTCTACTGAAATTGTATGAGAGGGCAAATTAATTTTGAATCAGCAAGCTTCCTTATTGCCGCAATTCATGCTGTGTTATCATCTGTTCTCAAAATGGATACCATGAAATAACAAATTCTGTAGAATATAAAATGGTGAATGTTAAATGAACAATGTTTGTATACTTCAACTCAAGAATAAAAGTTCCTGTAAGCAAACAATCTTTCTCTGATAATATAAAAAACAGCCCCACAATTCTGGATGTTACACAGTATGTAAAACACTATGAAACATAACAAGCCTTGGAACAAAGGTGTAAAGACTAGCCTTTCAACTTCAGGCTACAGAAGAAAGTATTGATGCCACATTTGATGAAATACTGCAGCCAAACAAAACAAAATGAGAAATGAAATGACATGCACGTAGGATAAGCAGACAATCCCTTATTTGGACCAAGATACTGCGATGAAAGAAAGTAGAGCTGACCTTGGGTAAAACAACACAGATCTTTTCAGAAACTGTGAACCAGATCAAACTTTGAAAACATCTTTTACTACAGCATTTCCACTTCCAGGCAGGATAGAGAAGACTGTGGCAAACCTGTGGACCTGCTGAAAATAACTAGAAATGCCAGATACAATTTTAAAATGTTCCACTGAAAAACGTTGAAAAGCACCCAGAAATCAAGTTGAAGGAACTCCTAATTGCCAAAGCTAAGATGATTTGAACAAAATAAATGACAGTATTGGACTTTAACCCACAGGGTAAGATAAATAGCCATGAGTCTATATTGATATACACAGTTGACTAAATAAATAAATGAGGGAAGAGGGACAATGCTTTCTTACAGAAGAAATTCAATTACTAGATGTAGAAGAAAACAGACAAATAAAAAATCACCATTAGGAAAACACCATAGTAAAAATAAGTGTTGTAGACAAGATCCAAAGATGGATGTTAAAATTGGTGAGTAAAAGCTGGAGGAAAAAGAGATTTGCATAGTATCAAGTTATCTCCCTACAAGATATTTTCACAGAGAAAAATAGTTTCCCTGAAGACATCCAGTGACCACCAACTTACTCAAGTGATCAAGGTTGCCACCCAAAATAAAATTATGAACCTGTTGATAAGATGCACTAAGAACAATATATTGTTTCTAGTGTATTCTTGCCAAAAATGTCTAATCTCATTCTAATAATGAGAAGACATCAGACGAAACTCCATACTGAGGGACAGATTACAAAATAAGTGACCAGAGGACTTCAAAAGTGTTAAGGCTATTAAGAACAAGGAAAGTCCAAGAGGAACTATCATAGAATACAGAAAACTGAGAATACAATTAAATGCAAGCAGAAACCTGAAATAAGGAAAAGGACATTAGTGGAAAAACTGGTTTTCAAATCATATCTATAGTCTAGTCAATAATGCTGTTCCAATGTTAATTTCCTAGTTTGATAAATGAACCAGGGTTATGTAAGATGCTACCATTAGGGGAAGTTGGATGAATATGGAAATTCTCTGTACTGTTTTTGCAACTTTTCTAAGTCCAAAATTAGTTCAAAATAAAAGGTTACAGTTACAAACTAAAAAACATAAAGGCATTAGAGAGCTAGTGGAAAAACAAGGACTAGAGGGGCCAAGATGCAGGAGGAGGCCGAAACATTGAGAAGTAAGCGATGTTCTACAGCCACTTTCTCCCTGGGAGCATCTGCTGATTCAGGGATGCAACTGAGGGACAGAAAGACACCAGAGCTCTGGTAGCCCTGCAGGGCTAGGCAGACAAGAATGGGACTGGTTATTTGCAATACGTATATGTGCAAAAGATATCATATCTAGAATACACAAAGAAAACCTATAAATCAACAGAAAAAACAACTTAATTAAAAAAAAATTGGTAAAATACTTGAGCAGTCACTTGACAACAAAAATCCAAATGGCCAATAATGTATAAAAACTAATGAAGTTAAACATTTCATTAGTTGAAATGCAAATTAAAACTAAAACCACAATGTAGTACCATCACACATCCACCAGAATGGCTGAAATGAAAAAGATGGTCAATTTGAAGTACTAATGAGGATAGGAGCTACTGAAACTCTCATACATGGCCGGTGGGAGTGTAAATTGGAATAGCCACTTGGAAAACTGACAGTATTCACTAATGCTAAATATATGCACATTTTATGACACAGTGACTCCACCTATAAGTACATACTCAGTAGGAATGTGAATAAATAAATAAGGTCATCAAAAAATATGTATAAGAATACACATGGAAATATCACTTGTAAATCTAAAGTCTGTTGAGTAAAAATGATAAATATATATTGTGGTATATTCATATAGTAGAAAAATACACAGCAATATGAATGAATTAACTATAACTAAATGCAGTAATGCACCTAAATCTCACAAACATAATGGTAAAAAAAAAAAAGGCCACACATAAAAAAGGAGCCTATAATACATAATGCTAAAGGTAACAACAGGCAAAATTAATTTATGAAATTATAAATCAGAATAGTAGCTGCCATGAGGATGGAAGGAGTAGTAACTGGGAGAGGAAATGCAGAGAACTTCTAGGGCACTGGTATATCTTGATCTGTGTGCTAGCTCTGCGGATGTGTTCCCTCTATAAAATGTCATATAGCATCTGAGATCCACACTGAATGTACATGTCAATTACAAACAGAAAGCTTTAATATTAAAACACTAACATTTATTTAAAATAAAAACATCAGGATAGCTCCTATAAACTAGATTACAAACATTATGAATGGATGTTTCATATCAGTCATCACTCAGATAAGTATTTGCCAATGAAATACTTTCATTTCTATTATGAGGATTGCAAAAGGTAATCCCAGCATTAAAAATGTTGTACTACAGACTGCAACAATGATAGATGGGACCATTTATATTAATTGTGGCTTTTAAACAACTGATCTCTAAAACAAATAAGCAATCAAATTATTTTCTTCCTTTATAAATATCAGCAATGTATTTATTAGAAAAGAGCAAGCCAAATTACAAATGAGCTTCAATACCTGAGGCAGAGCTATGACTACTGATGGATGAAGAGTCGCTCTCTTCACTGGAAGACTCTGAACTGCTATCACTGCTGTCAGAATCAGAGTTGGATGAGTCAGACTCTGAAGAGGCGGACGCTGAAGAGGAAGAGGATGGGGAGGATTTACTTTGCTCAACATCTGGTTTCTGTGCCACGATGACTTTTGGTGTATTTTTGAGATGTTCACGCAGTTCATCCCTAATTTAAAATATAATCTGTTAGATTCTATTTCAAAGACAATTATGAGATAATTTTATAATCTGAAAATAAAATTCTGAGAACAATCCTTACGTTAAACCTCCAAGACCTATAGAAGTAAAGAAGTTGATGGCAAACCGAGTGTTTCTTGGATTATCTCGGGGTAATAATCCTTCAAAGAATGGCTGTAGAGTTCTAAAAAGGAAAAAAATAAAAGAGAACAGATTGCTTAAAGATTTTTGATATATTAAATTACTAAATGAAATACAACCAAGTAACTAGTTGATGTCACCTATTAGGTTAGGCTACGTGTTATCTAAATGAAATGAGTAGGGTCAAGTAATAATGTACCAAACTTGATTTCTATCATTATACAATGTAGGAGGTTTTTAAAAAAACCTTTTTTACACACGCAAAGAAAAATATATACACGTATGAATATATAGTATACATATACACACATATGTATATAAAGTATATGTACAAAAAATGTTAAAAACCTCCTCTGTTGTATGTACACATACATACACATATGTAGAACTGTGCAAAGTACTGGGGGAGAGGTGAAAGTAGTCAACAAAAGGGAGAAATCAAGGATGAAGACCATGTAATTACAATATCTATGGACTGAGACAACAGAAAGACACTAACAAAACAAGGTGGTTTTGGACATTTGGTTTTCAGCAATGCACTGAATAACTACTCAGTGGAGTCAGAAAAAACTTTCTCATAGAAAAAGGTAAAATATAAAAAGAATGATTAAGAGCTTGCCAGATAGATCAAGAAGACACGGAAATGCCAACAGTAGAAACCGAGGTAAGCAAGCATGAAAGAGCCAGATGTGTTTCACAAACTTGGCAATGTTGGTGTGGCTGGAGTACAGCTTGCTGAAGAGAGAGAAGATGAACCTGGTCAAGTAGACAGGGACCAAATAAGTAAGTATATGAAGCCAAGAGAAGTGGATGAAATAGTCCAGAGACAGTGTGTGGAACTCAGGAACACTGAAGAGGCAGGCTGAAGAGGAGACTGAGAGAGGAAGTGAGAAGAAAGTGTGGAGCCACAGTGAGCAGGTGGTCAACTGCGTAAGTGAGGCACAGAAGTAAAGAGGCATGCGGCCTGAGAAAGACAACTGAATATGACAGGTGGTCACTGAGAAATCTGAAAAGATGATTTCAGTAGTGTCAATGGAGTAGAAGTCAATCTAAGTGGCAATCTGAATAAATAGGAAATAAGAAAGGTGAGAGAGGATTACATAATAGTCCTGAAATAAGGCTCTAGTTCCATGCAATAGACTTGAAAAATTATTAATAGATGAAATACATATTCAAAATTGTCCACTGATAATATTAGTTATCATTCTAAGGCTTAAAATTAGGGTAAAAAGAAAATAAAATTATAAATATCACTGGAGAATTCAAGTGAGCATACAAAAATAATTCTGTATTTTCTAAGAAAATTTAAAAAGGCATTAATTTGAACTCCATTTAAACTAAAAACCACCATTAAAAGTTGCACGTTGTCCTGTGAGACATAACATGAGATTCATAGTGATTAATGGATGAATAAAGTCCTAGGGGGCTTAGTACTTGTTTTTACAATCTTGGATGGGCTTATGTCTGCTACAATGGGAGAAAACCAGAGGTCAGTAAGAATAAAAAGTGCTTAATGGCAAACTTACTCATCCTTTAATCTTGCATTAAGTTTAGGAAGACCCATGTATTCACACAGTTCCTGGAAAAATATTTTGACAAAAATTCTACTGGATGATGTAGTGGTTTCTTCACTCAGTTTTATACATTCAAGAACCTGAAAATTAAAGTTTAAAAAGACAAGTATATTTAAATTTATAAAAGACAGGACAGAGTGACCAATATTTGTAGGTTTGTTTCTCAAAATTACTATTTATTCCCATCTTCAACCAGAGTTATCTCTGAATATCTCCCCTTATGCTGATACAAAGTTTAAAACTTCTCTATACTAACTTTCAAAATGTTAAGATGCTACAGAAATAGATTTCATTCTCTGTTTTGAGTAATGTGCTTTTTATAGCAGGGAAGATATCCTCTCTTGAGCATATAATGGTAAAGATTACTAGCTCCTATACCTTACTCATCAAAATGTGGTGTATATGAGGGTTTGGGGCAAAATGCCACTTAGCACATTAGACTACAATTTTGTTTACCACACATATGATTAAAAAAAAAGACAAAGTATGATAGTTTATTCTGAATATTAAGACTGTGGCTTAAAAACTGAAATGCCTAAAGAAATATTTTTAGGGCAAATAAAAATAAAAGTAACCTCCAGTTTTTATGGGTTATGTGTTCAGGGGGCCCATTAGTTAATTGTTTAAAATTCTCATTTCATTTTCTCAAAGAGGGGAAAAAAGAAGTCAAAAATTATTACAATTAGTCTCCTAGGTTAGATTACAAATGCCTATTAATGCAGCTGGACATACTTGGTACTTAAAAGTACTATAAAAATCTAACCAATGTTTATAAGTTTGAGATATTGCTTCATTCTACCATTAGTACGATGGCATTCTACCATTAGTAGGATGGCATTCTACAAGATAATCCTGTTCTTTCCTCCTGCCTCCTGGATGTAATTTCTCCTCTCCTCTTCTCTTCTCTTTCTTTCTTTCTATTCCTTTAGCAATTTTGCTTTTCTTAGAATCTAAGACTTTTTATTTTGTATCATTGCTATGGGCATATCTTACTTCTGATCTTACACAGTAACCCTCCTGAAAGAAGGGGCCATGTATAATTCACTTTGAATACCCAGCACCTCTCTCAATGACTCAGTATATAAGTGGTGGCTAACTAACAGTGGTTGAATAACAGCTGTAAAATAAATGCCAACTTAATGAAAGCATTCTAAATTTCAATCCAGTGCACATTTCCCCATCAAGAATGTATCTTTCTTTCTTCTATGACTATAGGATATCCTCTCTATAGCTTACCCAACTTCAATGTCTACTAAAAAGAACGTATCTTTCTAAGACAATCATTTTTCTTAAACCCAACAAGAGGATCCATGGAGAGTTATTCCCTTAGGAATCAAGGGAGAGTAATTCAGAGACACATTTACCATCAAAATAGTGGCATATGTGGATGTGAGTGTGCGTGCATGTGTGTGTACAAAGAGAACACGAAAATCTGCAGTATTTTTCCTGAAGACACTCCTAGCCATCATATTGAAACACTGGCATGTTTGGACAGTTAATATAATACAAAGACAGTATTTCTCGTGTATTACTTACCTAGCTTTCTGATTCCTTATTACATGAAGATAATCTTAAAGACAGCAGTTCTACACATTTCATTTTAAAGCACATTTCATAATAGGATAAATATAGCTAGCTTATACCAAAATCTATTTGAGAATAATAGGGAATTAGGAAGGAAGTATAAATATTGACCCATGTACTTACACTCCATGGAAGTGAATCGGTGTATAAAAGGTGAGCAAACATCTTAGCAACATTTCTCAATTTGTTTGTTTCCAGGCGATGGATGGTATCATACTGTTCTTTGAATATACTTTCAAAGGATTCCATGTACTCTTTCTTCAGCATGCAAAATCGCTAATAAATAAAAAATCAGTACCATTAAAAATTGAATGTTAATACAATTATGAGCATATTAAATCCTAAATTTACTGAATCAAAACTTAATATGTTTTATATTTTCAAAGAGCATATATCACTAAATCCTTTTGTGCCATTTGATGCTCAAAAAAGAAGTTAATATACATGGTTTATAATTATCTGAGATTTACATGTTAAAACAAAATCATACATATAGCTGATCACATGTGGGTAGAGCTTAAAGAAATATTGTAGATCATGCTTTAATTGAGCTGCCTGAACATGTACTTGACTTTAGAAACTGCTCTGAGATTTTGAAAAGACAGTATTTAATTGTTCTCTATTGGGAAATTGTTACAAAGCATGGAAAATTCCAAAAAGTTCTGGAAAAGTGATATGCAAAGTTAAAGGACTGCAGAAATGAAGCAGAAAAAGAGGAAGGTGAAGACAGCGGGAAACCTGAGGAAGGAGAGAATAATTTGCTTTTAGCAAAAATGGTAATATGTTGTTATATGAGGCCAGACCATAAAGCAGAAATAATTAATTTACAATATTTGTTTTAAGAATTCCCTTAGTAGATGCTGGAACTCACCCCAGCTAATAAGCCAAAAAATTTTTCATATGTCCTCTGTTGGGCACAGCAATCAAGTATCATGTTGCAGAGTTCTTTCTATTTGGGAAAAAAAAATACATTAATGATTCAAAACACAAAGAGACTAAATATTATATAATTTACTAGTATGATAGTGACTGCCTGCATTTTTAAATAAGGGTTTAAAACACTTCAAAAACTTTGTAAATAAAATAAAAACCTCAATCTATGTTAAACTCATAATTTTTTAAAGCCTTGGGTCCAGCTGACAGTCATTTATGCTTCCACAGTCATTATACTAATTATATTAATTATAAAATTCTAAATTCATGATAAGTATGAACCATATCAAGAAACCTAGTATAGGAAACAGACATATAAGGGAGAGATTTAATACACTGCATTCTTTAAGGATTCTATGCAGAATTCTTTTAAATACAGACTCACTAACACAACATCTAACAATTCAGTTACATATGTCCCAAGGATATAAACTCAATTGCTAAGGAATATATTTAGTATGGAAAAGGCAGACCATTATTAGTCTTTACAGAGGCATAAAAGGGTACAACTTCAACGTTAACATAAACCACCCTTTGGTTGATAAAGAAACATCAAAAAACACTCTGTGGATGAATTTTCTCACCTCAAAATAAATGTTATTCACATAGACTTATCTATATGGATCTATATGAATAAATGGAATCATTCCATACCTACTAGTATATTGTTCCAATTAGCTATTCAGGTGCCATGTAAACCTCTCTGAAAATTCTGTTAAACTAATGGATAAATCCCCAGTAAAAAAATACTATCACCACAGCTGATTTCTAATTAACAAATTAGTTTTTAAATTAATATATTAATTCCTGAAATAATTCAAATGAAATATGTATTGATTATAGCAATGTCATAGATGAAAAAACTCAGCAACATAAGGTGAAGAGACAAAATGAAAAAAGGTATTAATTCATCTGATTAGTGTAATCTCTTTCTATAAAGATTTATCAGAAACTTAAAACAATTTTCCAAATAGAGTAACTGTAATATACTTGCATTGTACAAACAGAAAGCAAGCCTATAAAAACGTGTTGCTTTTTAATTTTGACCTTTATATTTTCAATTAACAATTTTGACATTTTGTCTTATTTACTAACACAGGATACAACCTAAGTAAAAATAGTAAATATTTTTAAAAATTATATCATTAAGTATTTACTGCATATATCTATGTTAACGGACATGTCAGAGACTCCAGAGGAGGACTTAGGGCAAGAAGTAGGAAGGGAACCTTGGAGAAGCACAGAACAGATACTTTAGAATTGTGCTGTCCAACATGGTAGCCGCTAGCCATAACAGCTAATGGCTATTTAAATTCAAATTATGTTAAATTATACATAAAATTAAAATTTTAGTTCTTCAGCCACGTTACTAGTCATATTTCAAGTACTTAAAAGCCACATGTGACTAGTGGCTACTTTACTAGAAAGTGCAGAATATAAATACTTCCATCAGTACAGGAAGTTGTATTGGACAGCACCGCTGTAGATACTGATACTTAGGGAACAATCTACTCAAAGCTGAAAGGCCTCACTTTACAACATAGAGCTGCCTACTTTCAGATGCCATTATATTGTGCTACATATATGTAAGTAAAAAATATTAAAAAATATAATATGTATTATATTATATATAAAATTATATGATATATATCATATATTATATATTATATGAAAATATAAAATATATATAAAAATAAAGATAAGTGTCAAGTTATCTCAACTAAATGTTTATAAATGTGTAAGTTCTGAAAAGCTGTACATTATCAAAATTTCATACAGTACTAAAAACTAAAAAAATAAGGTTTTTCTAAATTCTACCAAATTATGTTAACTTCATATATGAAAATTCACTTTCAACTTTTTTTTACCAACATCATATTTTGTAATATAACAGTTAATCAGGTTTTAAGCAACAGAGCATGGTAATATGCTGATAGCACTGCTATGCACTACTTGCAAAACAAATTACCTTCTTCCCTAGACTAAATGCAATTATAAGAGTTATTCCCTCTAGCTTATAATAATTAAATATTTTAACATTTTAATTAAGTGTTACAGCAATTTTAGGAGTCTTTTGAAAATAAATGCACTAAGATACTTTTCCAAATATTATCAAAATACACTGAGGTTATTTCTGGAATAACTATCTTCTCGATTAATATTAATACAATCTATAATGGCTTAATTATCTTCCTCAAATAACATGACAAGATCACACAGTAATTTCAGTGACAATTATAATTGTAAAGGTTTTAATGTATTAATTTATTTTCTTCCAGCGATGGCATATCAAGTGTGGCCAGCATACAAACAAGCACACTATTACTAATATACCAATAACAAAACTTTGAAAGGGAAAAAAAGGAATCTTTTACATTTAAACAGATAATTTTTTCTAAAAATTCCGTATCACTATATTTCAATAATTAATGTATATTCTAGAATAAAGACTGGCAAACTTTTTCCGTAAAAGGCCAGATAATAAATATTTTAGGCTTTAGAGTCCATATGATCTCTTGTCAAAACTACTTATTCTGTGGCTGTGGTGTGAAAACAGCCATTGACAATATGTCAATGAATGAGTCTTTTTATTTTCCAGTAACACTTTATTCATAAAAACAGGCAGCAGGCCTCCGCCGCAGGCTGCCAACCTCTGTAACACATAAACATTTTTAAAGGCTTAAGACAAAGAATTTATATCTAACAGTAACTTAGCTCAGATAATCAAGAAGACCTAGAAGAACTAGAAACTGAACAGCCCATCAGAGCTGATACATTCACTCTGGCATCTGTGCCCGGTTTACCGCATGTAAAGCAAAGTGAGAAAAATACAATCACAAAAGCTTTGGCTCAGTTTCTAAGGATGTAATATCTAGATGGGAAGGAAGTAATATATATAATACACATTAGAGAAAAAAAAACAGAAGAAAGAGCAACTTTATCTACTTAATCTGATCTTCATTATCCTTGGCATTAGGGTTCTGATACTTTGAAAAGTGAAGTATACCAAGCTGTAAGACAGTGAGTCCCATGGGGCCAAGATGGAGCTATCTTGTGGTGTGACTTGATATATAGTATCTGCTGAATAAATTTTCATTAAAGGAATAATGAATGAAGGCTGGGAGTGGTGGCTCACACCTGTAATCCCACTGCTTGGGAGGCCGAGGTGGGCGGATCACCTGAGGTCAGGAGTTTGAGACCAGCCTGGCCAACATGGTGAAACACCATACCATCTCTATTAAAAATACAAAAACTAGCCAGGTGTGGTAGAGGGTGCCTATAATCCCAGCTACTAGGGAGGTCGAGGCAGGAGAATTGCTTGAACCTGGAAGGCAGAGGTTGTAGTGGGCTGGGATCATGCCACTGCACTCTAGCCTGGGCGACAGAGGGAGACTCTGGCTCAAAAAAAAAAAACGAAAAAATTATATAAATTCTTCTACATCCAACTAGAGCAATGTAATATGTGCTGTGATCTTTATCTTTTCTACCGCAAAGAATGCATTAGTCGCAAGCTTGTCCAACCTGTGGCCAACAGGCTGCATGCAGTCCAGGACAGCTTTGAATGAGGTCCAACACAAATTCATAAACTTTCTTAAAACATTATGCTAATATTTTGCAATTTTTTTTAGCTTCTCAGCTATTTTTAGTGTTAGTGTATTTTATGTGTGGCCCAAGACAATTTTTCTTCCAATGTAGCCCAGAGAAACCAAAAGATTGGATACCCCTGCAGTGCATCCAGAAGATGGACCACATAATCCATTAAAGAACAAATTTCCTACTATATTTAAGTCAAAATTTGATTTACAGGCAACTCAGAAATTCTACGTAAAGTGCAGTGTTTCAGAGACTCTCTTTTTACCATATCCCATTTGAGCAGAAAATTTAATTCCCTAGAGTGAGCAATATATCTGAAACACCCTAAGCTCTGTGTTATCTTAAAGTGATATAAAACCTACATTAAAAAATAAATATTTAGTACTGAGGTATTGCTTCAATCCACAAAACTTACCCATTAACAGCCTTAAACATTTTTAAAACCAATATATGCATTTCCTAATAGAAAAAGTATTAACATACTGTTTGGCTTTCAGGAAACTCCATTTTCAGCAATTTGTGAGCACATTCTTCAAAATCTAAACTGTGGAAATGATCACAATAGGTTAAAAGCTTGCAACATAGACTGTACACTCTTACACACAAGAATCTTACTTTAATAACAGTTTTAAATCATCTTTTTTTACTGCAATTTCATATTGTTGTACTGCATATATAAGGAAAACATAGCTCTTAACTCTACAGAGAATGAAGTGCCAATACATACAACATGGATGAATCCTTGAATTATGCTAAGTGAAAGAATCCCAACACAAAAGACTACATATAGTATGATTCCATTTATACAAAATGTTCAGAAGTGACAAATCCATGGACACAGAAAGTAGATTAAATGAGTAGAACGTGACTGCTAAAAGGCTCAGGGTTTAGTTTAGAGTAATAAAAATGTTCTGGAATTAGACAACGATGATGGTTGTATAACTTTGTGAATATAATAAAACCACTTGCAGTCATGCATCACTTAATGACACGGTTATCTACTGACAAATGCATACTTAGGAAATTTTTTCATGTGCAAACATCATAGAGTGTATTTACACAAATCTAGATGGTACAACCTAATATATCTAGGCTATATGCTATGGCTGTTGCCCCTAAGCTACATCCTGTTCAGCATGTTACTGTACTTCTGAATACTGTAGGCAACTGTTAACACAATGGTAAGTATTTATGTATCTAAACACACCTAAACATAGAAAAGGTTTAGTAAAAATATGGTATTATAATCTTATGGGACCACCATTGCCTATGTGGTCTATTGTTGACTGAAAAGTCGTTACATGGCGCATGACTGTAAATGTGCACTTTAAAAGGGTATCATAGCATGTGAATAAAATCTCAATCTTAAAAAGGCAAAAATAAAAAAGAGGCATATGCAGTGAATTGTATTACTCTCTCAAACCAACCAACTTCAAGCCATAACTAATCAGATAAACGGGTTTCTATTCTATGTGATTTTCTTCATTTTAAGAAACAAAACACATAATGTGTAATTTTCTCTCATTTCTGCAATCATATAATGCTTATCAAATGTTTTCCCACTACAAACCGGTCACTCAGGTATGACGGTAGTAAATTCTTAAGTGTCAGCAATACCTTTTCCTTCAAGCATTGGAGGATAATAACTGTACATAAAGAATTTATTAAATATTCTGACTTGATAATCCCATATTACAGGACAAATCTAAGTACTCTAAATCTGGGTAACCAGGTCCAGATCTCGAAGAGTGCTTCCCAATGCTCAAGGTTTTCAAGAGATCTGGCTGTTCTGTTCTACATTTAGTTGTTAAATAAATCTAAGAAAGAAAATGATCAATAACTCTATTCAAAAGCTTAGATAAAACAACAAGTAGAATGGTTAACAATGAGGACAAAGAAATAAAAGCTTTTAAAAGTAAATACTTTAAAAAATAATTGTAACTACCTAAAATTTTTAAGAAATACATTCTTATTCACAAATATATACCTAAATTAGAAACAACTGGAGGTAAAAACACCTATAGGATACTATACTGATTTAGGTTTATACATAGGATTTTAGAAGGATTTAGAGACAATCTAATTTGACTCATTTTTACAGATGAGAAAAATGAGACTTAGGTATTTGTATTTGAAACTTGCTCCTGGCCATATAGTCCCAGAAGTAGAACTTGAACACAAGAATATTTATACTTTCTCACCCAATATTTCATAAGGCTATAATTAATACTTAATTTGAAAAGTCATTTCTTGAAATGTATATTACATGTTTAGAGAAGCCAGGAAAAGTCCTAATTAAGGCAGGAGCAAGCACAGGTCAAGTTTCCCTGCTTACATTAAAATCTCAGTGTGGAAGAGTAAATGATATATTATTCTATCATAACTCTACCTACTTTTACTAGATATTGCCAATTTCTTATATTTTTCTATACTGATTCCAAGAGATGAAAGACGTTCCAGGAGCTCAGCATGACGTTAGCGCTTAATCTCTACTTTTACAAGTTAGCTTGGTTCATCTTAAAACACAGGGCATCCACATTTTATAAATACCACATGTGAAAATAATAAATATAAAACAACTTGCAAGAAAAAATATGCTTTTTACCCACTATTCATATGAACAGAATTTAAAATATCATCAGTATAGTTTAAAGAGAATTAGCAAACTCAATTTGTTAACTGTTTATTGATTCAGAAATAATGCTACTATATTTGCATTTCTGTGGAATGCCCACATCCTTACTTTTGATAACATATCTTAAAATCATCACTAACTAATGATTATGGACTTAGTTTTGCAGTTCATCCGTATTCCTCAGCTTCTATTACTTATAGGGTTTCCTAAGCACAACAGGGTAATAATCCAGGATGGTACAAGGCAATGAAATAAAAAAGAAATCTACCAGGAAAGAGATTATATAACAGATAATATTAAACAGTATATAACATTAAGATTAAAATACTAAACAGTAATTGATACATTTTAATAATACAGTAAAACCAAAAACATTTAAAACAGATGTGTCTTTTTTTTTCCCAGCTTTTTAAGAAAAAGAAATTAGCACTGCAACAAAATCCTGAAATTTCTGAAAAACAATCAAGTAGTTGATGAAGAAATATTACTACTTCCCTTTTATCTACTAAGTGAAGTATCAGGGAGAAAGTTAGCTAAACGACAGTCTGTTTTCTTGTTCTCGTTTTATTTTGAAAGTATTTAATGACCTCCTACACCAACATGGTTTTTAGGTTGTATACTAATTATAAATATTAAATGAATTAAATTTTCTTGATATTTTAGTTCTCATCTTAGGTTACTAAACCAAATGAGTTTCAGGTTTAACACAAATTAATAGCAATTGAGGAGAGGGTAAAGAAAAAAGAAGACATTTACTCAATCACTGTCTTCTTTTACATGATGCCAGATTTCAAGCTGTGTTTACACAGTTTTGTTGATGTGTCCAATATCAGAAACTTTAAACAGGTGGGGACGTGGTAGTCCATCTCCCTCTGATGTTACAACTTCAATAAAATAAAATCAGACTAGAATATCGTTTAAAAGCAAGAACAAACAGGAATGCTTTATTTTTAATAGCAAAGGCAATTGTGTAGTTTAATGTTTTATGCATATAAAAAAGGGTATTTAAGGAGCCATAACAGAAAGAAGATAAGACTACTAGTGAGATTAGTCAACACAAACAAATTTAAAAAATAAAATTTCCACACAGTTCAGTTGCCAGAACTTAGTTTTTGTTCACAAGATTTTCAACATTGGACCGTTTAAGATACCCTCATAGCCACCTGGCTTGATGATTACATCCTATTTCTGATTTTTAGCCTGGTATATAATAAACATAAACCTCTCCTTAAGATAATCAGTGTTGATATATTAACATATTATTTCTAGAATCTGCCTATTTTGACAGCTAAGAAAATACTACAAGCACAATTCTATATAGTTATATAGTTTTTATCCCACTTAATATTACATCAGACTGTTTGTTCACATTTAAAACAACTCTCTATTAACGTAATTTTCAGTGGTGGCAGACTGGACATTTTGACTATTTGTGGTAGAAAATAAGACTGTCTCCATTTTCTTTTTTTTTTTTTGCACCAAACAATTCTGTATATAATTATGTGTCCATATTTACATCTTTAGGAAATACAGTAATGAAAAACAAGGGTCAAATAGCATGAACAACAAGCCCTTGATTCATATTACATAGCAGGGTGGCTATAGCAAATAACAATGTAGCCAGATTTTGAAGGTTGTTACCATAAAGAAACGATGAATGTTTAAAGAAACAGATACGGTAATTACCCTGATTTGATTACACAATGTATAATCATCCATAGGGTATAAACATGTACAATTATTATATGCCAATTATAAATATAAATTAACTAATTAAAATGAATAATGTTTTAAAAAAAATAACAAAAAATCCCCAGAGAAAATCATATAGGACAGGAATTACTGCTACTAGCACGGATACCACTATGTAATAGTGGCTATTACTTGTTTTTTAATGCTTTAATTTTTCAAGTCTTCTGTGTGATTCAGAGATTATCAAGGTTATGCTTCTTTTAAATAATTATTCAAAGAGTTCCACTGTAACTCTTCAAAGTTAATGTTAACTGTAACACTTAACACAGTAAATCTGCTGCTCACAACTGATGACTGTTGGATTTCTTAAAAAGGACAAACGAATGAAAGGTCAAACCCCAAGAATATTTACCTCTGACAAAGTATTTCTCACCTTTCACTTCAAGTGTATATGAAAAAATATTTAATACTTTTTAAGTGAAAATAGGTAAAGGATAAAGCAAAAAAATTCCCAACCAATGTTTTGCTGTTTAACATTCCTCTATTTGAAGATAAACCTAAAGCCAAAAAATGTTCAGACTGAAAACAGATGACTCCTACTTATGAATCATTATTGCTATTACATCATACTAAATGGAAATATACTAAACCTAGTAATGAAACAAAACTGAGGAAACATTTCTCCTCCAGTGTAAAATGTAAACACTGTGCCCATTACATCAATAGGTTGATTCACATACAAAGTACCAGATGTACTAAGATTTAACATCCTCGTTTATTTCTCTTCAAAACCAAATTCACAGCCTTCAAAGGGAATAGGTTTTGTTTTCATGACATCACATCACACTACTTCTTACTTAGCATTACTTCAAAGAGTCCTCAAAATCTTCCTAAGTCTAATTCCTATTTCTGTTCATACTCATTTACATCTGCAGAGCAAATCACTGTCCAACAGTCTTTGCAACAGTGCTTCTTTGCCTAGAATCAGAACTAGAAACCAAATTTTAAAAATGTTAAATATTAAATTTTCATTATACAATTAGGTACTCTGCTATCTTGTAAAACAGAATTATTTTCAGGTTTTTATTAGCGGCACTTAACTATAAGAAATGATATAGTTAACAACCCATTTAATTAGGTAACACAATTAGACCTTCCAATTAAGTAAAGACAATTTTCCTATAAAGCAAAGAACCAACAGAAGGGTACCATGAGCTTGGGCATGGGATGGGGGAGAGAGGTAGGTAGTCTATGAATGCTGAAATGGCGTTCGGTTTTCTGTTATGAGACCCTAAAATGAATCCCTGATCTCTTTACCCATCCCTTATCAAAAACAAAAAAAGGATGAACTGAGACATGATGCCTTACCTTGACTGAATAGCAAGATAAATTGTACGACGAAATGAGACCAGGTTAATTTCTGTTTTGTCATGGATAGTCACTTTTTGTCCTGAAAGAAACATAACAAAATTACAAAACTGCAAAAATAAATGTGAAGAATTTAAAATGTATCTCTGTATAGCATTTTCTTCAAAAACCTATTTAGAATCAATATAAATTTAATAATTATTTTTTACTGTGTAAGTATTTATAGAATTCAAAGTAACTATTTCAAGTTTTTTGCTATATCATGTTAGCTCAAAGAAGTCCAGAACCAAGCCAAGAAAACTATTTTTGTTTCTCTGTTATCTGCTCATTTAGACACTATAAAAGGCTGTACTCTTGCTGTTGTTTGGTAAAATATTATTTCTAGAGTTATAAACAATATCTTGATAATTCAGACACACTATATAAATCATGGGTAAAAATTCAGTTTCAGAGAACACTGGATCATCACAACAGGCTGGATGAGTCCAATATAAATAGGTGTATTTGTTAAAATTTTCTCTTATTTAATGCACGAAAACTTTCCTTATAAATATTTAATAGTTTTTATTTGAACAGTATTTTCAAATAAAACAAGGAAATTCTAAAGTAAAATGTAGTACATGGATAGAATTTTAATTAAAAAAGTTGGAAAAAATTAAACCTATTTTTACAAAATATGTTATAGAACAATTGTACTATAAGACAGAAGTATTTATTATATCCTAAAAGGCAAATGTATACTTTTAATATCTTCACACATGCAATACATGTAAATAATGACCAGTTTATGTATGTTCTGATGTACTAACTGTGCCTTAACCACAGTAAAGTTCTGAGCTTATTTCTGTGAAATAATGTAATCACAGCTGAAGAGGAAGAACATACTACTTCTGTGTAAATATAGCTTTTGGCCTCTTCACTTTATTTTGCCAAAATGAACAGCAAATATGCAGTCACTCTCATTTGTCACATTCCTGCCATGGCTACATAAATCACATGAACTCAATATGAAAACATGTTTTTCACTGTCTTATACACAAAGGCATAATATACTAAATTAAAATTGTGCTGACGTTAAAAAAAGAATTTAATACTTTTTGAGCAGTTTCTCAATCTTGGCAACACTGGCATTTTGGGCTAGATTACACCTTGTTGCAGGGGGCAGTCTTGTGGTTTGTGGGCTATTGAACAGCAGCTCTAGTCCTCACCCACTAGATGCCATCAGCAGCCCTCCTTGCTCTCCCCAAAGATTGAGAACTATTGTTTTAGAAGATTACATTAGAATTAATTTTAGAGTGTCTCATAATATTATTTGAATACACTACATGTTTACCTTCTTCATCTTCTTCTCCCTCTTCCTCTTCTTCTTCCTCATCCTCTTCACTACTCCCAGCATCTTGGTCTGTGTTTGAGTCAGTGTCTCCCTCATCAAGAATTTCTGTAAAGTACAAAGTAAGTTTGGGAAAAAAACAATGTGCAAGTAATATACATGTATTTTATTCTAAGAAGATAATTCTCAGTTCGTTGAAATCCACTGTGGTGTAACAGTTTATTAGCCAACAAACATAACCACCAAGCCTCGTGTTATTGCCTAGGTGGTCAAAAAGCATTATAACTGATTTGACTAGAGAGAGCTGTATGTATCACTTTTCTGCCACATAAAAAGTGCCCACGAAACAAGGAGATGAGTAAAACAAAAAGTAGATGAAGGTTTTTGAAAAGAACAAGAGCACTGGAAAAATATTAGGAATAGAAGCTAGCATATGGGAGTCAAAATATTGTTTCATCATCAGAAAGAAGACAGTCCATTATAAAAAGTTAAGGCTAGATACAGAAAACAAGAATTTACGCTAAGAATGTACTTGGAAAGACAAAGAAGGGAGAGAAAATAATTGCATAACTTAGTGTTCACTTGAAATAAATAGTAATGAGATTTTTATTAAAATATATACCTACTAAATTGAATATTACAAGAAATTCAAAGATTTTTCATACATAAAACAGAAGTTTAAAAGCCTTTAAGACAATTGGTAAGACAAGCACCGTATTAGATTATCACTTTTAAAAATACAAATGATATATTCAGAACTGGATGAAAATAGTGATGTATATGAGACTACATAAGGCCAGTCATTATGTTAAAAGCAAACAAATGACAAAAACTAAAATTATATTTTGCCCAATGGTGCTCTGTTAGCCTGATAAGATTCTGCAAACAGGACCAACTCTTTACTTTTGCATTTCTATTATAATCAGAGGGCTTTTAATACAAAGTTCTGGGATCAATTCACTTTAAGAAAAATTCTAATTTCTTTATATTTAACTAAGCAGTAAAAATCAGGAGACACATAACGAAAGTTAGCAGAGAACTTCACATTATGAGAAACAAATCATTTTACAAAAATGAAGAGTAGTCATTCAGCCCTTATCTGAAATATAAATCTCAAGAATATTTCGAACAAATGTGAATTCAAGAGATAATCTAAAGTATCTGGTTTATTACTATGTAACACGGCTTCAACAGACTTTTAAAAGAAGAAACTATTTAGTATTCAATAGCAGGAAGATAAGCACTCCTGCTGTTTTCCCAAATGCTGTTAAGATCTAAAACACAAGTACACCTGGGTCAATCGAAGGTGCTAATTACTAAAGCTGTGCCCACTTCCTGCTGGGACCCTTTTTTTATGCCAGCTCTAGAAGAATGCTTTATAAAACAATGAAGGTCAAACGAATTGTCTAATCATTTACATCATCCTTTTCTCATCTCTCCACTTTAGATTCTACTTATTAGAATCACTTAGGCAAGGACAACTGGATTTCATTAACTGAATAAAGTAGTGGTTTCAAAGCATGGTCTAGGAGTCTATGGGGGATCACTGAGACCTGTCACGTGGTCTGTGAGGTCAAAACTATTTTCATAATAATACCAAGACAGTATCTGCCCTTTCACTGTGCTGACATCTGTGATGATGATCCAAAAGCAATGGAGGTTAAAACTTCTGTAACCCAAGGCATCAAACTTCTCTAGTAATCAGTGTATTCTTTACTGCCACCCTCTTGAAGTAGAAAGCCAGTTTCATCTGAGAATGTCCTTGATGAATTTTATTAAATCTCAGCCCTGAATATACGCCTTTCTCCTAATCTGAGTGATGAAATATAAAGTTCATATATATAGCCCTTCTGTTAGACAGATATACAATGGTGACAGTTATGTCAAGGAAAACCACTTGTGTGATTGTTTGCTTTGCAAGATGAATTAGCTATTTTTTTTCATTTTTACTTGAAAAAAATGGCCAACTAACTACAGTTGTTAGATATTTGGCCAACAATTTCTCAAACGCAAACAAACTTGAGACTGTCACTTTGGGGAAAACAACTAACGATATCTACGACGATGATAACATTAGGGTTTTCAAGAATTTTGAAAAACCTATATCCATCTCTGTGAGCTTGAGAGCTCCCCAATATTTAGATTTTTTGGACGAGAGCGGTGGTAATATTATTAAATGTGCTATGTAGATATTATATCAACATGTTAATTTGATTTTGATAACATCAATGTTAACATTTAAAAGATGTGCATAACTCAGTGAATTAGTATTTTCTAAATGACTAATGCAACATTACAAAATCATGCATGAGTAAAAGATTTATTTAAAGTGACAGATAAATGGATTCTAACGCAACACTATCAAAGTTCATTGATATTGTTTCAGAATTTACACCGCAATTAATCTTAAAACTACTAGTTGTTAAATATTGGCATTTATCTGAAAAGGCTGTTAAAATACTGCTCCCTTTTTCTAATTATGTATTTATCTGGGGCTAGATTTTCTTCATGTACTTCAATTAAAACAACCTACTGCAATAGATTGAATGTAGAAACAGATATGAGAGTCTAGCTGCTTCCCATTAGGCCAGACAGTAAACTTTACAAATAAAAAATTTTATAAAATATATATATATAATACAAAATATATAAAACATCATTCTCACTAAATTTGTTTTGTAAAATAACATTTTTTTTTTTTTTTTTTTTAGACAGAGTCTCACTCTGTCGCCCAGGCTGGAGTGCAGTGGCGTGATCTTGGCTCACTGCAACCTCCACCTCCCGGGCTCAAGCCATTCTCCTGCCTCAGCCTCCTGACTAGTTGCAATTGTAGACATGCACCACCACACCCGGCTAATTTTTATATTTTCAGTAGAGACAGGGTTTCACCATGTTGGTCAGGCTACTCCCAAACTCCTGACCTCAAGATCCGCCAACCTCAGCCTCCCAAAGTGCTGGAATTACAGGCATGAGCCACCACGCCCGGCCTGTAAAACAACGATTTTCATAAAAATATGTAATTTATGTTAACATATACTAGGTTTGCTATTATTTTGAAATAATTTAATAAATACTATTTTATAGTGTTTTAACCTTTTATATAGTAAATACCAATAGATATAACCCACATAAAAAGAAGCTCTTTGGAGTTGTCAAAAATTTTCAAGAGTGTAAAGGGATTCTGAGACCAAAGAATTTGAGAACTGCTATAATAAAATAATGTACTACTTTCCAGGCATTGGCCAATTGCCTAGATGCTAAAGAAATGGATAGAGAATTCTCTAGTTTAAAAAAGAAAGAAATCAAATCAGGTGTATACAAGTATTTCACAAAAAAACATTTGGCATCTTTCAGGGAGACAGCAGGAAAAGAGGTTCATAAGAAAAGAAGGCAAAATGGATCTATGGAGTTCTCTGTTTGGAAATGAAATTATAACAGAAAAAAGAATCTGACAGATTACAGTGAAAAGCTCCTAGGAAATCAGCATCTAAGAAGAGAAACCCATTATTATTATTATAACAGATTTTTAGGATAATGCATAGGAATGGAAGATTTCTCCCATTTTTACTTTTACTTTCAACCTTCTGCTTCTAAGCACTACTGACCAATGGAATGCAGACAGAGACAGGGTTCTAGGTCTCTGCTTTCTCTGTATATTAGACTACACAAGGCTGGTCTTTATGTTAAAAGCAAACAAATGACAAAAACTAAAATTATATTTTGCCCAATGGTGCTCTGTTAGCCTGATAAAAGATTTTACAAACCTAACCGACTCTACATTTCTATTATAATCAGAGAGGTTTTAATACAAACTTTTGGGGTTTAATACAAAGGTAAATATTTATTGCTTCCACAGCAATAAATACTTCTCCAGTAAAATTACAACTCAAGAGAAATAAGCCCATGAAATTATTATGTAAATAGGCCTGAGTGTTAGCTTTAGGAGGAAAATAATGCAAATGTGAAAATAGTAACAGTAATAATAGCTATCATTGTCTGTGATAATACACAACACTGTATTTTATATATCCTTCCATAGAAAGGTAACATTTAGTCTTCCATCAAACAAGTAACTTGCTACAGGTCACTCAGCTAGTAATGTCAAAGACAAATTACAAATCAAAACCTGTCCAAAGTTAGTGCTTACAGTATACCAATGATATACAAATGAAAATGATCAATTTATTTTATCAGAGAGGCACCAATACTATAATTCATCTTCCCAGAAGGATATCAACCTGACCTCAAGAAACAATAAAGTATAGCACTTTACAATAAAGTATACCACTTAATTGAATATTAAACTGGGTGGCACAGACTGTCAGTGGTAGAGAAGCTAAATAAAGGCTACTACTAATCTATGAATATTTCTTAAGATGGGTGAGACGTAAGGGTTGCATAGTTTAAAGGGAAAGAGGAAAGGAACAATGGGGTCAGTAATTCAGAATGAAGTAAAAAATCATGGGCAAGTACCAGGAAAAAAATAATGCCCAAGTTAATAACTTTATAAGAGCAGAGATTTCATTAGGCGAGTATCAATGATCTCTAAATATTTCCTATCAGTATTAAATAACTACTTAAATTGCTTCTACTTATCCAAATTAATTTTATAAAATTTTACATACCTTTCTTAATAGCTTTGTACTTCTCTTCATTCTCCATAAAATTAGGATCCATCTTGAAAACATCTAAAAAAAATTTTAAAGTTAATGTTTATTTTCTATATTTACATTTGTTGGTATACCTCTTTCCACCTAACATGCCCCAGACTTACTAAGAACATCTTCTGGGTTATAGTCATCCTCCAGAGGGAGCATATGAGTGAATTGATCATCTTCTTCCACCAAATCAAGACCTTCTAGGATAATGGGGTGGTCCTTGAATCCATCTTTCCGTACAGCAAACATCACTTCAATCATATATTGAACTCTTTTGTCAATTTCAGACTCATGAAGAATGTTTCGAAGGCGTTCAAATATAGCTAAAGGTTAACAGAAAGAAAAGACAATAAAATAAGCAATAAATATTACAATAAACAAAAACTTAACATCAAATTAAAAATGTACACTTACCATTGATTCCTCTTGGTGACACTTGTGTTAATTTGAGGCCACATTCCTTAAGAAAACCAATAGCTACTTCAACACTATCATCTGTTGGTCTTTCCAGGAGTAAAGTGAGCATCTCTAAGCATAAAACTTCATGTGCCTTAAATAGAATACATATAGATGGAAGAAAGAGAATGCTTTTACATACATTAAAATATTTTTATGATTTCTAAAAATTAGTAAATCTGTTACAATAAATATATTGCACATATGATGGGCAAAGTTTTATGAAGTACATGGAAATACTCCAAATACGGGATACAATTTTTCTATCACTTTTATTATCTATCTACTAAGAATTTTCAGATGACTGTTCCAAAAATTTTAATTTTCTATGCTGAATACAACTATCTGAATTATCTTTAGAAGAAATATTCTTAGCCATTATGTACGGAAAGTGTCATAGATAAAATATGTTAAAAATCATATACTACTTTCTAATAAGATAATTGTTTTCATAATTACTACATGAGAAATAGTAATATGATTTATAGTACCCTTCTTCATGACCATAATTCTTTATATACATTTCCCAATTCATTCTATCGGCAACTCTATTAGACGCAAATAGTCCTTAAGTTACACGAATACTAATTTCATCACAAAATATCTTAATAACTTCTGGAACAAAACAGTTTTGAATATTCCATCTTTTTAAAAAAAATTATATCAAACTATTTCTACTGGCCATGTTCAAAAACTGACATTTATAAACAACACCAGGAAGAGAGGGAACAAAATTCTACTGAGAAGCTTTGCTATGAGAAGAAAACGAACTACAAAGAATGTTTAAACTACCACACATATGCCTTTCTAAAGCCAGACAATGATTTGAGATGGTGAGGAAATAAGTCTAAATCTCAACTCAGGAGATACCTTCTTCCAGTTGTGCACAACATCAAAGACACCCGCTACTTCTTTTTACTAGGGGAGGAGGGGTGTCAAACAGTCTTCTATCAGTGACAAGAAAATACTGCCCTTTACCACAGTTGAGAAGATGCAAAACATTTATCATATCAAGTGTTTTATGGCAATGCCAAAAATCTCTAGCCTAAGTGTAATACACATTTAAAAATGGAAATATATCTCTGTGGTTACAGATATGAAATTAAGTTTCCTTGGTCTTAAGTAGCAAGTTATCACCGTAATAATATGACTAATTAGGTCAAAATCTAAAAGATTTCTAAGAGTGAAAGAATCTTCATATAAATAAGAGTCAAAACATTTAGTATTAGTGAAATAAGACTAGGCAGGATTTTAAAATTCTTCCTGTTGTACATGATATTAAACTGGAAATGATAATATATATCTGAAGGAAACTTTTGAGTATGAGCAAGAACAATTTTACCACTTTCATGGTTAAACAGAAGCTAAATCAAAACCATCAAATAATGAATATAAAATAAACACAAACTGAATAATAGCATGATAAAATTACTTGCATTTGAAACAGATTAAAATTGATCAACTCTATTCTACAAAGTGATTCTAAACATATATGACTATACCTATGTGGTGGCAAGGAATAGAGGTTTTTGTAAAATAGCAGGTATTTATTAGATTCTCATGAACACCAGGGAATGAAGTGGAGGAGACACCAACTTTATTGTTTTATAAAAGTGAACAGAATGGTTCTTCAAAGGAATGGTTTGCAGTCAAGTAACCATGTATAGTATTAAGTCAGATTAATCTGATAAAATATCTAAAAGTGTTTTGATTAGCATCAAAGTGTTATGTTACAGAATATTAAATACGACCAGGCGCGGAGGCTCACGCCTGTAATCCCAGCACTTTGGGAGGCCAAGGTGGGCGGATCATGAAGTCAGGAAATCCAGACCATTCTGGCTAACACGGTGAAACCCCATCTCTATTAAAAATACAAAAAAAAAAACTAGCCCGGTGTGGTGGCGGGCAACTGTGGTCCTAGCTACTCAGGAGGCTGAGGCAGGAGAATGGCGTGAACCCGGGAGGCGGAACTTGCAGTGAACCAAGATTGTGCCACTGCACTCCAGCCTGGGTGACAGAGCAAGACTCTGTCTCAAAAAAAGAAAAAGAAAAAAAAAAGAATATTAAATACATTTATTATAGTTTTCAAATGAAAATATCATTCAACATATTTATCCTAAGGACTATAAAGCAAAGCAAAAATAGAGAGGTATCAGTGAGGTGGCATCAACCCTGTGGTCTAATGCCACTGAATGCGAACAAGTATTGAAGATAATTACTTACCACATTTTGGTTAATAAGATGCGCCACAAATTTTGAAGCAGTCAGGCAAAGTTGCTGAAAAGTGAAGGTGGAGAGTTAATCCATAAACTAAACCCAATTTTCATTTATTTACATTAATCTATGGCCTACTAACAATCTATTTAAAACATGTACCACACAAGTATAATTTTTGTATTACCAGAAAGTTATAAGATAAAACACATGAAAGAGTATCACTTCTGGTTAAACAGTTAAAATTCTACAGTTAGAGCCATCATTTTTGTGGCTCATCAATAGTGGCCAGGGATATTTAAGAGAATAAAGAAGTTCTCATGAAAGACAGTTTTTAAAAAGCATTATGTTATGTACCTGTGTCAAAATCAACCTTGCTTACTTTTGTTGATACTGGTTTATTAGTCTGTTCCTATGTATCATTCTACCTACAAGCCATTCATATATACCTTATCATTTCTTCGATAGCCTTTTCGAAAATTAAGAATTAACCTCTTGAGGATTAATTCTCCAATTTGTGGAAATTTTGAGTTGATAATTGCCACTAATGCTGCATAAACATGGGTGAAGATTGGAGAAGCACTCTGTGCTTGCAAAACAGACCTGGAGAGCAGTCCTCTGTTTAAAAAAGAATAAAAAAAGGAGTCAACAATAACCAAATGAATTAAATGAAACAAAAACTATTAAAATTCAGTAATACATCTCTATAAATAATCATAAAATCTAAATCAGAACTAAATGGAAAGAGTTCATCTTACTAATAAAAATTGTTTTTCAGAAAATGAAATGTGAATTTGTAATTTTGTAAATTAGAATGAAGATTTTACTGCAATTTATCGCCAAAATTTTTCTCTCTACATATAATTCCTCTTTTCCCAGTCTGTTATATCAAATCATGAATTTGAGGTTTTTAAGGTTCATATAAATAAATTCTTTAACATTTTCAAAAAAGTAAACAAAAGCAGACCTGCTTCAAAAGTACGAAAGCTAGACAACATAAAGTTTCTACTATGAATCCGTCATTCTTATAAAATTAATTTTGTGATTAAAGACAAATTTGGGTTTAAATCTTTAAGTCTAATTTTAGTTGAATAAAATGAAGATTTGGAATATTCCTGTGAGAAATAAAGACATGAATTAAAAGCAATGCAAGATTAATGCTAAAACAATAACAGGAAATTAAAAGGTACCTACTTGTAACTCATTTTGAAAATGGTCATGTTTCTATATGCATTTGATGAGGAAGGGGAAAGGCAAATTGGGCAAACTGAAGTTATTTTTAGCAATGTAATGACAAGTAATTATTGGATTGCCAAAAGTCAGGAAAAAAAAGTCTTAATGGTAGTTTTAGATACAACAGAATCACTAGAGTAGAAAATGAGAAAAAGGATGCAGCTTATAAATTATAATATCTTTAGCAATCCATTAAGTCTTCTGAGTCTACTTTTTTTGTAAGTAAAATGGAGAGATCTCTGCCCACTTTTATGGATAATGGCTGTCTCTTGATCACCTTTCTGTACCTCTACAACTCGCTGCACCTACTTTATACCACCACCTTTTTTGGTGAGGTTGGGGAGAGACGGGGTCTCACTCTGTCACCCAGGCAGGAGTGCAGTGGCTTGATCTTGGCTCACTGGAAACTCTGCCTTCTGGGCTCAAGCAGTCCTCCCACCTCAGCCTCCAGAGTAGCTGGGAGTACTGCGTGCCACCACGCCCAGCTAATTTTTGTATTTTTCATAAGAGATGAGTTTTCACAATGTTGCCCAGGCTGGTCTCAAACTCCTGGATTCAAGTGATCCTCTTGCCTCAGGCTCCCAAAGTGCTAGGATTACAGGCATTGAGCTACCATGCCTGGCCACTAAATTCCATATTTTTTAAAAGATGAATCATAGTCATGTAAAATGACAAGAGAAAACAGCCCTCAGATTTTAAAATAATAAGTAGAACATGGAGTACTTCTATTTTCTGACCCTTTTAAATATCACCAATTGCTTAAAACCACATATTATAGAACATGGTGATTCCTTTCCGCTTTTCTCAAATTTATTGCTTATCTTTCCCATTTCTCTCACATTCCCACTTCACTCTCACTAGAAATTAAATTGGAATAAGGCCATATACGATGAACCCATAGCTAATATACTCAACAGTGATAAGCTGAAAGCTTTTCCTCTAAGATCAGGAATAAGAAAAGGGTGCCTACTCTTTCCAATTCTATTCAACATAGTACTAGAAGTCCTAGCCAGAGCCATGAGGCAAGAGAAAGAAATAAAAGGCATCCAAATCAAAAATAGAGAAGTCTGTTTGCTGTAAACAGGATCTTAATATAGAAAACCCTAAAGACTTAACCAAAAAATTGTTAGAACTAATAAACTAATTTAGTAAAGCTGCAGACATAAAATCAACATACAAAAATCAGTAGTGCTCCCATATGCTTACAATGAACTATCTTTCTGAAAAAGAAACCAAGAAAACATCCCATTTACAATAACTATAAAAAAAACAAAAACAAAAACAAAAAACCTTAGGAATAAATCTAACCATGGAGATGAAAGGTCTGTACACTAAAAGCTACAAACTGCTGATGAAAAAATGGAAGAACATGCATGACATCCCTTGTCCATGGACTGAAATAATATACTAAAATGTCCATAGTACCCAAGCAACATAAAGACTCGACTCAATCCCTATCAAAATTCCAGTTACATTTTTCGCAGAAATAGAAAAAACAATCTTAAAACTCACATGGAACCACAAAAAACTCCAAATAGCCACAGCAATCTTGAACAAAAAGAACAAAGCTGGAGACCTCACACTCCCTGACCTAGAATCTGCTACAAAGTTATAGTAATCAAAACAGCGTGACACTAGTATAAAAACAGACACAGAGAGCTATAGAAAACAAAGAAACCAGAGATAAATCCAGACATTTGCAGTCAACTGATTTTCAACAAAGATGCTAAGAAGACACAATAGGGAAAAGACAGTGTCTTCAATAAATGGTGCCAAGAAAACTGAACATCCAGATGCAGAAGAATGAAAATAGACCTTAGTCCCACAACATATACAAACATCAACGCAAAATAGATTAAAGACTTAAACATAAGACCTGAAACTGTGAAACTACTGTATTATGGTTAATGATTTTTTGGATATGACCCCGAAAGCACAGGCAACAAAAGCAAAAAGAGACAAATGGGATTACATAAAAACTAGAATGCTTCTGCACAGCACAGGAAAATATCAACAGAGTGAAGAGACAGCCTACGGAATGGGAGAAAACATTTGCAAACCATACACCTGATAAGGGGTTAATATCCAAAATACATTAGGCATTCAACTCAATAGTAAGAAAACAACCCAATTTAAAAAATGAGCAAATGACAAGAACAGACATTTTTCAAAAGATGTACAAATAGCATTATATATATATATATAAAATGCTTGACATCACCAATTATCAAAGAAATGTAAATTAAAATCACAATGAGATCTCCTCACAACTGTTACAATGGCTGTAACAAAAAAGATGAAAAATAACAAGTGTTGCCAAGGACATGGAGAAAAGAGAACCCTTGTACACTGTTGGTAGAAATATAAATTAGTACAGCCATTATGGAAATAGTCTAGAGGTTCCTTAAAATATTAAAAACAGAACTACCAGCTAGGTGCGCTGGCTCACACCCGTCATACCAACACTTTGGGAAGCCAAGTGGGGAGGACTGCTTGAGCTCAAGAGTACGAGACCAGCCTGGGCAAGATGGCAAGACCTCGTTCTCTACAAAATATTAAAAAATTAGCCCAGCATGGTGATGAGTGCTTGCAGTCCCAGCTACTCAGGATGCTGAGGTGGGAGAATTCCGTGAGCCCAGCAATTCAAGGGGTCAGCGAACTATGACCATGCATGGTACTCTGGCCTGACAACAAAGCAACACCCACATCTCTAAAATAAATCAACACTAAAAACATTTTTTTCGATTATAACTACCATTTGATCCAGCAATCCCACTATTGGATATATACACAAAGAAAATGAAATCAGTATGTTGAAGAGGTATCTGAACTCCCACATTTATCGCAGCATCATTCACAATGGTCAAAATATGGAAACAACAAAAGTCTCTGTTGTGAATAAATGGATAAAGAAAATGTATATATGTATAATGGAATACTATTCAACCATAAAGGAAATCCTGTCATTTGCAAAAACACAGATGAACTTGGAGAACATTATGCTAAGTGAATAAGCCAGGCACAGAAAGACAAATAACGCATGATCTCACTAATATGAGGAATCTAAAAAAAACTGAACTCATAGAATCAGAGTATAAAATGATGGTTACCAGAGGCTGGGGGTTGGGGGAATTTAGATGTTCGTCAATGGACACAAAATTTCAGTTAGACACGAGGAATAAGTTCCAGAGATCCATTCTACAATATTTTGACCATAGTTAATAACCATATATTATATACTTGAAAGCTGAAAATAGAGTACATTTTAAGTGTTCTCACCACAAAAAAATGACAGGTATGTGAATGCATGTTAAACAGCTTGATATAGCCATTCTACAAAGTACACATATATCAAAACATCATGATGCATACCACAAATATATACAATTTTTACTCATCAATTTTAGAAAGAAATAAAAAATTAAATTAGTTAGAAGGAGTATATTGTGATATTCATTATTCTTCACGAGTTTAAATTAATGGAAGCATTAAGTGAATGTCTGCAAAAACCATTATGTGAAATCGAAGCTTCTCAAAAAGCAAAAATTCCATACAACCTCTAAGAGCAAGGCACAAGTTATTTCTTAGCAGTCTACATTTTTATAAGTACTGCATTTTAAATAAATATTCTCAATGACCTTTGAAATGAAGTAGCACAATAAATCAATGATTATTGTTCATGTAGATATTATACACCTTTGAAAAAATTACTTAGAAATACTACAAATAAAATACTAGAAATAAAAAAAAACTTACCTTCCTCTAACAATATTTTCTTGAAGAAGCTCTTGAATAATAATACTTATGTTGGAAATGTTGACTTTGTTGATAAGACCATTAATTGACTTCTTTAGGGCCTCCCAACTCATCCTCTGGTATGCTAAGCTAAAAAGAAGTGATTTTAATAAAGATTAAAACTCTTTCAATAATTACAATAAGTTATAAGAACATAAAAACTACATAGTGTTCCTTAATTTTTAACATTATTTTCATGAAATGACCCCCAAGTACAGTAAAATATATGATGCCTATCAGGATAAACAGATTATATCCTAAACCATATTTGATTTTCTGTACATATGCTTAAGTACACACCATTTTCCTTTAATAATACAATAAGATTATGTAAGGACATATAAGGATAATGTTTTGTTCTTAGGCCTAATACATTTAATTAGTCTAATTCAATACATGCTTATTTTACATATAATGCTTGATTTAAACTTGTCTTTAATGAAGACCTTTAAAATAAATGCAATTAAAAAAAATGTAAATGGTAACATGAAATGCCCGAATATAAGCCACAAAAAAAATCTGTATGTCCCATCTCATAAAAAGATACAGAGATAACAAAATTAAATGTTTTAAACCACAAATAAATGGTAACTACAGAAAAAGGGAGTCACATGAAGTCATGGGGCTGAAATATTGTTCAGAGTATTTTAAAGACAATCTCTATGCTGATGTAGGAGTCCTACAGCTATACCAGTTGAATGTTAGATAGCTGTACTACTTTTTACCCTAGATTTCGGAAATTACTTGGCCTCATTGAGTTTCTTTAGGTTGAACTGGACAATGTCTAAGATCTTTCAATGCTCTACAATTCTATGGATTTTGTAACTGCTTTTCTGTGGAATCTGATTTCAGCTGCAGGAAGTCTTAACCTTTTTTCTTCTATACACGTCTCTCTCTGGAAGCCTGGTGAAACCAGTAGACTTTTTGGAATGATATATACAACGAATAGGATTACAAAGGATACTAATCATACTGAAATTCAGTTTTTGAAACATGAAAAGAACAAAAGTTTGATATAATATTCTATGTGCTTCATAACACACTAAACAAGAACTAGCAGTATGCTTAGTAACTACTTAAATTTCTAAGTAGCATGGCCATAATCCATATCATGAAATATCTGTAACAGACTGTCAATACAATAGGCAATCTATTGCCTACATTCTCAAAAGAAAAAAAAAAAAAAGCTAAACTTTAGAGAATAGCAAAAATAAGGATTCAATTTTTTTCCCAAACACATTAACGGACTGATTGCTTGAATTCTATCCATGGACCTCTTGAGGGGCTCATAGGTTAAGAATCCCTGTTCTGGAGTGGTACAACAAGGAAGGTTGGTGAGAGCAGTTCCTGGTGGGAACAAGTATTGTATCACTGACATTGTTTAGTATTGCCAGCATGGTGAGGATAAAAAACAGACTCACTTTGCAGTTAATCTTATTTTATTTCTAAATTCTCTATAAATTATATACCCCCTTACTGCCTGTACCCAAGGTGGACTATTCCACTGTTTCATAACTCCAACCTTTTGGTATCCCACTATCTCTAGAAACAAGATGTATGCCTTAACAAGTGGCCTGATTAATAAGATGTTGCTTATATACAATCACAACCTATCTTACTAAACTAATCAAACAGCTACATCAACTACAATTATACATCCTAATTAGGAAGCCCACAATTCATGTATCTACTGAAAGCAAAGACTATGGCCTTCTTTTCCAGATGTTTTGAACCCTTTACAGTAGCCTACTAACAGACTTCAACTGTATACACAATTATCTTAAAGGAATCTGCTTTAAATTGCATGTATTGCTGACTCTCCTGTCTGCTTTATTTAAAAGGAAGCAAGACTTGGACTGACATAGTTTCTAGTCTTTTATGATCAGGATTGCTTTGGACTGGACTGGAGAAAGTGATTACTTTTCAGTAATGCCGCCACTACTGCCTTGTGCATGAGCAAAACGCTTACATGATAATGAAAGTCCTATTAACCACAGAAGCCATCTCCAAATTCCTTTTCAACCTAACACTTCAAATATCACTGGCAAGTGCTAAAACATGACACATAACGAAAAACTTATTAGTTTTTAATTTAATGTCATCAAATACCCCTTTCTGGCTCTTAAATTTGGTTTTATTTCAAATCTTCATGGCTTCTTTTAGATAAAGACATTTCTTTTATTTTCTTTTTCTTTTTTTTGAGACAGAGTCTCCCTCTGTCACCCAGGCTGGAGTGCAGTGGGGCAATCTCGGCTCAATGCAAGCTCCGCCTCCCAGGTTCACGCCATTCTCCTGCCTCAGCCTCCTGAGTAGCTGGGACTACAGGCACCCACCACCATGCCCGGCTAACCTTTGTATTTTTAGTAGAGAGAGGGTTTCACTACATTGGCCAGGCTGATCTCGAACTTTGGGAGGCCGAGGTGGGCAGATCATGACATTTCTACTTCAAGCTAACCCTTGAAACAAATTTAGATTTAACTTAAATAAGGTTCTCAAGCACTTTTCAAATTGCCATTAAAACACTCATGAAAGGATGTGGAAATACTCCTGTCTGGCTCACCTTGCATCTGTTTTTCTTAAATTATAACTATTAATACCTTCTTTCTCAATCTTTTAACTAGTTATCTGGCAACTGAATAATCATCTCAATCTCGGACCATACTTTCCCTAGTTATCAACTCATCCTATTAGAGAAAATACCTTAAAAACTTAGCTGTACTTTCCTAAATAGCTCCTCACCATCTCAATTACTCTGAAAAGGGAAGGAGGAGTGTTTTAAGTGTGACTGTTCATATATAAATTTTGTCTGTCTGCCTTAGAGTAGCAAAAATGTATAGTCTAAGATATTGTGGGCTAAAGAAAATGTACAAAAAGAGATAACTGCCAGCTTCAGTTTTATAGATGAGTACAGAGGTCGGCAAACTAGACCCATGAGCCAAATGCAGCTGCCCACCTGCTTTAGCTGGGCTTTTACAGAAAAAGTTTGCTGACTCCTGGTTTACAACAGGAAAAGTCAATTTTAGAACTAAAATGTCAATTATTAATCTTTTCTACAAAAAATAAACATTATCAATAGGAATGCATCCATGAAACTATGAAAGGAACAATAGTTTGAAAATACTATAAAAAGGGTAAGCAATCTTTTCCTCAAACTTTTTAATTCATTCATGCAAAAAAACAAAAAGTAATGAGCTAATATAAGGGCAAGTGGTGTGTGGCTCTCCAATGGAGCTATGAAGTAAAGAGGTCTCTAATTTTAGGTCTCTATCATTGAAGACTAATGTAAATTCTCAAGAGCCAGGGTTCATTAAACCATAGCTGACTTATTTTTCAATGACAATATAATGGCTTTATATACTGATTGATATCAACATGCCTGTTTTTATCTGTAATCTGTTCCTGCATCATCCTGAGCTTTGCAGGGGGAATATATGCTCCACCAGTGCGAGTAAGAAGAGGATCCAGCTCATCCTTCTTTTTCTTTGTAGTAGGTTCATCCTGAGCAGAGGAACTCTGAGTTACTGATGTTTCTGGGTTTCTCCTCCCAGGAGATGGGGATTTCCGGGACCTTTTCCGATCCATCTCTCTTTCTCTTTCTCTGCGTTTTTCTCGGTCCCTGCTTCTGTAATACAAATTTTTTTAAGAGCAGAAGAGACAATATAAAATACACTCTTAACAATTAACTGCACACAAATGAGTGAGACCATAAGTGGGTCCCACAAATTCAGACTAGGAAAAATGGTTTAGAATGGTGAGAAAGTGCTTCACAGAGAAAATTCAACAAACTAGGTCCTGAAAGCTTGACAGGATTTACACTGGGGGCAAGTCGGGAGGAGGAAGGGGAGAGGAAGGATGGCATTCTGCAATGAGTAGAAGAGGGAATAACTATTGAAAGACTGAGCAGGGGTGCTAAGGTCAGAATGAGTAGCATAATCAGGAAACAAAGAATTATGTGTGATGGTAGTTGGAAAGATGAGTTAAAGTTAGACTAAAATCTTAAAACATATGCAAAAGACTTGAAGGTTTTTTACTGGAGGTGATGGGGAATCATTAAAAGTTTCTGAGTAGGAGAGTGGCTTTTATGAATGGAGTGTTTTAAGAAGACAAATTAGCCTGTGGTGTTTATGACAAATTGTATAAAGGAGAAGAAACCAGAGTTAATCTTCAATAGTGGTTACTTTAGTTGTAAGACTGCTATAGAATATAGTATTTGAAATTGTTTCTTGATAGAACTAATATTTTTATTAGAAATCTCAGAATATCGGAAGCTTCTGCTTATTTGAGACAATGTGGGGGGAAAAATTTTTCTAGCCACAATAAATCTTCCCTACCAAAGTACCTGATTATCCTTTCTTAAGCTAAGGCTTTTAAAACAATCAAGGTATAGTTCTCTGAAACCATCAAGAACTAACAGGAAAGAACGAATCCTTGCTTTTTGCGATCTTTCCCCACAGCAAAGTTTATCCACTGAGCTGTTTTTTACATATATTGCCTTGGAAACTCAGATCATTCTATTCATATTTTGGGTAACCATGAGTTATATGACACAGTAAATAGAAGTAAATTTCATATTATCACTGCATTACCAGGAAACTATGGGATAGATTTTAGCTAAATCTAAGGGGTATGTTTGAGATGGTCTTTTTAAATACATAGTAATAGAACCTACATGGAGATTGAAAAGCAGTCATCTTCCCAGGTAGCTGTGGAGGAACAGGTATTTTCTGTTTGTTTACTTTTATTTTAAGTTCAGGGGTATAAGTGCAGGTTTATTACATAGGTAAACTTGTGTCTTGTGTCATGGGGGTTTGTTGTATAGATTATTTTGTCACCCAAGTATTAAGCCTAGTACTCATTAGTTGTTTTTTGTGATTCTCTTCTTCTTCCCACCCTCCACCCTCCCTTCACCTTCCATAAGGCCCCAGTGTGTGTTGTTCTCCATGTGTTAATGTGTTCTCATAATTTAGCTCCCACTTATAAATGAGAACGTGTGGCATTTGGTTTTCAGTTCCTGTGTTAGTTAAGGATAATGGCCTCTAGCTCCATCCATGTCCCTGCAAAGAACATAATCTCATTCTTTTTTATGGCTGCATAGTATTCCTGTATAAGTACCATAATTCCTTTATCCAGTCTATCACTGATGGGCGCTTAGGTAGATTCTATGGCTTTGCTATTGTGAACAGCGCTGTGATAAATATACACATGCATGTGTCTTTACAATATAATTATTTATATTCTTTTGGGTATATACCCAGTAATGAGATTGCTGGGTCAAGTGAACAGTTTTGAAACTGAAGTATAAGAGACTTAAATGACCCCTAGGGAGGACACACAATCTGTATATACCAAGAGTGAACAGACAGGGGAAAGAGTGATTTCAAATATAAACCTCAATTAGTCACAAAGGCAGATGCTCTAAATTCTCTGCACTAATTTGCAACTGAGTTGCTTCTTCTTGTGAATATACATGTTCCAAGAGAGTAGATACAGCAGGGATTTCCTGAGATTGGTTATGATTCTTCTGAGAAATATCAGGTAAGAGAGATAGCTGGCTGAGAAAATCAGATCCTTACCATTATTGTGTTTGTAAAGTGCAGAAGTAACAAAATATTCTAAGAGTCTAAACAGAAACATTTTTGGACTGTTAGCCTTTATGTTCTGCATAATACCTAGCCTGCTGACTTCACAGTGTGACTGTGTGGATAACATGAGACTTCATTTTCGTATACTAGACCTAACATAGAGTTATACTGAAGTAGTACAGTCAGGGATTGTGAAAAAGACATGGGCTTTGGAGCCAGAACTGAGTTCAAATTCCAGTTTCAACATCTACCAGATGTTTAAACGCAACCTCAGGTAAGCTATTTAATAAACTCAAAGCCATTTCCTTATTTGTAAATTGGAAAAAATAGTATCTAGTTTCTAAGAGTTTTAACAGTATTTGGGAAAATAAGCAAAAAGCTTAGCTTAGCAATTATGGTTATAGTAGTTGTTTTCACTAAGGTGGCAGTAGACAAGCCTGGATTTTGAAGGTTAATATAATCTGACATTATAGGATTAGGTATATACTAGAAAGTGATGAGAAGGAAATTTTTGGCTGTAGATATCAAAGAATGTGCTTAGCTCCAAACTTCAAACTGCAGAGGAATTTGGTCAAAATTCCTGTGGGGGATATAATATTGGTGGTAAAGGGGTGGATAATATCTGAGAAACATCAAAAAAGGTATAGATCTTAGTGAACAATAAAACATGAGAGTCAAGTTTTGGAAACTAGATGACTAATAAGGGAATACAGGAAAATCAGGAGAAAGCTGGTTTTATGAAAACAACGACAAAGGCAGAAAGTTGTCTTTGAAGGGATAATGAAAATGGTTGTTAGAGAACAAATCAGAGTTCCTTTATAAAATACTAAAATAATGTTAATTTTGCAAGATTAATTAGAAATACATTCAGAATCGACCACGTTCAACAATAGTTCACCTGAACTCTTCCACTGTTTTCTATATAAAGTCCCACCGGTTCGCCGCTTATCACTACTCAAACTGATATGCTCAAGAAACTAATATTTTAAATAAGTTAAAATTTTTTTAGTATCTACTATGTTCAGACATGGTAGTAGGACAGATACTATTTTTAAACCTAAACAACCAGACAAGATGCACATCATCATCATCTTATAGATGAGGAAACTGAGGCTCAGAAGAAATCTGTTAAGAAATGTCACCAAATTTCCATAACTAGTAACTAAAACTTGAACTCTAATCTGCATGTACATGGAGACTATTCTCTTTCTACTATGCAACACTGCCTCATTAAAAAGTCTAAAATATAGACATTCTAAAGTCAATTTCAAATGACCTAGAAATTGTCTGCATCACTACTTCTCTCCTAAGCTAAGATACATGCAAGTTAAGGGAATACTACCCATATAGTGACTTCTGTTTTAAGTACTTGAGAGTATGTCCATCTGCAGAATTCTAGTTAACATCTCTTCCCTATATTGAGCATCTCAAGTATCTGTCTCACTACTTTCTTTGAGACTACCATTACTTCTACCTGGAGAGTCTCTCCCCACAGGTACTAAGTAACTTTTAATTGCATTATACTTTCTTCTGAGCAAACACAGAGGCCCTTTAGTGAAGTTTTAAAGGGAATGTTTAAAACGCTGACATCTTTCTAACACAGTAGTCACCCCTTACCTGTGGTTTCACTTTCCAAGGCTTCCGCTACCAGTGGTTAACCAACAGTCCAAAAATAAGTGACTACAGTACAATAAGATATTTTGAGAGAGGGAGACCACATTCACATAATTTTTATTAGAGTATATTCTTATAATTGTTCTATTTTAGTATTAGTTACTGTTGTTAATCTTTCACTATGCCTAATTTATAAATTAAACTTTATCATAAGTATGTATGTATTGGAAAAAACATAGTATATATATGGTTCAGGTATTATCCGCAGTTTCAGGCATCCACTGGCGTCCTGGAACACATTCCCCATGGATAAGTGGGGACCAATGTATTCTCATTGTAAAAACTATTACTAATTTCTACAAGAGAGAAAAAGAATTGAAAATAAACACAAATCAATAACAAGGGGTTATAATACTCTGCCAAGTTTTCAATGAAATGTGAATGGCACTTAATGTCTGACTCTTCTTAAATATTACCCCTAAGAGTTTCCAAACACTCTCATTCCAATGTTTCTTGCTATCTGCCTTCCATTCAGTTCCCCTGCCCATTTCTCAACCAAGTAAATCTTGTAAGTCTTGTTAGCCAGAGGAAAGGTGGGTAACCAAGTTCTCTAAAGCTCAAGTAAGAATCCTTTACATGTAGAAAAAAACTACAAATTGGAAACTTTAGTCTCAATGTCCCTCTGCCATTATGCAGGAAAGGAACTTTAGACCACTCTATATCATACAATATCAATTTCTTTCATTTAGTAAAAAAATCTCAAAAAATCACATAAGCTAACCCCTCTTGCAGTACAATATAATGACTGAGCTTGGGCTTTAGAGTTAGACAGACTTGGGCTTGCCACTATTATGTTTCACAACATGAACGAATTACTAAACTTCTCTAGGCCTCAGTTTCTTCAGTTGTAAAGCAGACATAATAGTATCTACTTCACATATTTGCTGCAATAACAAGTTAATTCACATGAAGCCTTATTAGAAAGCCTGGCACCTAAGAACATCCAATTAATATTGGCTACTATTTTTTTTGGTTTTATTATAAATATAGCATAAAGAAAGTTTAAACAAATATAATTGTCTACAAGTTAGACATTCCCAACACTAACCGTGACTCCATGCTACTATCATAAGAATGTCCTCTTCTTGAATGCTCATAGTCTGATCTGCTGTAATCAAAGTAATCTCTATCCCGGGGGGATCTTTCTTGTTCTGCATATCTAACACAAAATAAGAAAACCAAGTTGCAAATTAAAAACAACTATGTTATAAATATTTAGGAAAGTCATATATTGGTAAGGGCAAAGCAACTCTCTGACTGAACAACATCTTGTCAAACTGTTCTTAACAGCTCATTTTGCTAACACCCATTCATTCCATCAGAATTACAAAAGCTTTCAGTTTGTACACAGCAAAACAACTCCTAGGATTCACTTAACCAAACTTATTTGTTTAGTGAATTATCCTGATTCACTTTGTTCTTAGTAGGAGACATATATCTGGATATCATATATAGTTAGCATGAAAAAGACTATCCAAAAATGACTGCTTTTGCTTAGTTGGCTTGTTTATCAAAATACTGAATGTATGAGACCAATGTCACTGGTTGGCCTCCATAAGGATCAGTTTAATTCCATACCAAAAGATCATATTCATCAGCTGTTAATTTTAAAATGCATTATTGGATAGCAATGAGAATGGATTGAAATTATTAGCAAACAAGGATGGATAGCATCAGATCTATTATTTGAATCTTAAAAGTCAATAAAATCAGAAAACCTTAAGAGAAGTTAAACATATACATAATAGATATATAGTAACATAATCCGTATTTTATATACACATCTACAATTAAGTTATATACACATATACCTGTGTGTGTATGTGTCTGTGTGTAAAGAGTTATTATTATTATTTTTTTTAATATACAGGGAGTAGGCAGTTGGTGAAAGGTAGTAAGTAATCATGAATCAGGACAATTAACTTGATGTTCACAAAGCAAAGTTTTTAGAGATATTTAGCAGAGTAGAATAACAAAGTATATATGGAGTAAGAAAGCTTAGACAACTGAAAGAAAGTCTGAAGGGTGCTTCTTCCTTCATAAATTATTTTTAATGGGCATAAAAAAATACTTTTACAGTCATTATTTTTAATAGACCATATGCTTAATGGTCTCTCAATGATCATAAATGAGATAATTATAATGCTAATATGAATTCATAATGCACATTAATGGTAACATTTTTGGATCGCTGATCTTAACATAATTATAATATGATATAATCCAGCAGTCCCAAACCTTTTTGGCACCGGGGACCAGTTTTGTGGAAGACAATTTTTCCACAGATGGTGGCGGGTGAGGGGATGGTTTCAGGATGAAACTGCTCCACCTCAGATCATCAGGCATTAGATTCTAATAAGGAACACACAACCTAGATCCCTCGCATGCGCAGTTCACAATAGGGTTTGTGCTCTTATGAGAATGGAATGCCACAGGTGATCTGACAGGAGGTGGAGCTCAGGCAGGAATGCTGGCAGCCCTGCTGCTCACCTCTTGCTGTGTGGCCTGGTCCATGGCTCTGGGAGTTGGGGACCCCTGATATAATCTATATAAAAACATTTTAAAGACAATACAGAGCTATGTACACGTAAGGGATAATACTGACAGTAGCAAAAGCAGCACTTCTAAATAGTGTAATTTCAACTCAGATTTCCATTTTACACTTTCATTCCATTAGTATTTGAAACATTAAAAATTACTCCCTTTCATATAAAAATTACATAATATCTGTAATTATTTACTAGAAACCCCTAGAAGAGTCATTTAAGGATGATTTCTCCTACAGCCCATTCAAGTAATATTGACTATAAAACCATCAAAAAGAAGTTATCCACCCTAAAATCAGAAATCTAAGAGCTAAATTATTACATAAACCTTACTATAAAAATTTACATTGCCGCCGAGGCAGGCGGATCACGAGGTCAGGAGATCAAGACCATCCTGGCTAACATGGTGAAACCCCGTCTCTACTAAAAAAAGTACAAAAAATTAGCTGGGCGTGGAGGCGGGCACCTGTAGTCCCAGCTACTTGGGAGGCTAAGGCAGGAGAATGGCGTGAACCCAGGAGGCGGAGCTTGCAGTGAGCAGAGACCGTGCACTACTGCACTCCAGCCTGTGCAGCACAGCGAGACTCCATCTCAAAAAAAAAAAAATTTACATTGCATTCAGAGCACATTAAACTATTTACCTGTCTTCTGGAGAGGAGTTCTTCTGATATGAATTAAGGTTTTCCCTTCTGTCATGACCAGAAGAAGGCTTTAAAAGAGGAAAAAAAGGAGAAAACATTCCAAAAATTATTTATGTTAAAAAACATAGACTGAAACACATGGCTTAGAAAGTTGGAAGTACTTTAGAAATTATATCAAAACATTTTTTAAATCATTAAAAATAATTCATGTAACCTAAACAATCTGTAAGATAAAACGAAATTTTCAGACCATCCCAGATGGGCTTGTCTGTGGCAGGCACCTGTTTTCATTATGGACCAAATACTTCTTTTTTTTTTCTATTTCTTTTTATTTTTTATTTCTTTTTATTTTATTTTTTATTTCAATAGTTTTATGGGGAACAGGTGGCGTCTGGTTACACGGTTAAGTTCTTTAGTGGTGATTTCTGAGACTGTGCTGCACCCATCACATGAATAATGTACACTGTACCCCAAAGTGTAACCTTTTATCCCTAATCGCCACCGCTACCCTCCCCGATCCTTTCCACGGAGTCCCTAAAATTAATTGTATCATTCTTACGCCTTTGCTGGACCAAATACTTCTTTCTAGCCAAAACAATTCAAAGTAGAAAAAGATAATTCTCAAATTTTTGATGACACCTAGTTTATATTTTACTTCTATGTAGTAAGTTGTAATTTTTATTATTATTATTTTTTGAGACAGGGTCTCGCTCTGTTGCCCAGGCTGGAGTGTAGTGGCACAATCACGGCTCACTGCAGACTCAATCACCCAGGCTCAAGTGATCTTCTTGCCTCAGCCACGATATTGTACTTACCTCCTATCTCCGTTGGCTTATGAAAACCACAAGTTCAGTACCGGGTAAAATAGCGGGAAGAAACTGACTCTAACATGTTTATAAAAGTTCATTTTTGGCCGGGCGCAGTGGCTCATGCCTGCAATCCCAGCATTTTGGGAGGCCGAGGTGGGCGGATCATGAGGTCAAGAGATCGAGACCATCCTGGCTAACACGGTGAAATACCATCTCTACTAAAAAATACAAAAAAATTAGCCAGACGTGGTGGCGGGCACCTGTAGTCCCAGCTACTCAGAAGGTTGAGGCAGGAAAATGGCATGAATCCAGGAGGCAGAGCTTGTAGTGAGCCAAGATCGCGCCACTGCACTCCAGTCTGGGCAACAGAGTGAGACAGCGAGACTCTGTCTCTCAAAAAAATAAAAATAAAATAAAAAATTTAAAAAAATTCGTTTTTGTTTTCAACAAACATCAATTGAGTGTCTGATATGTATTATATTGTGGTAGGTTCTAGGGAATCGAACAACATTACTTTAGGGTATAAGCACTATTCCAAATCTTTTGAAAAAAGATTTGTACCTCCTATCTCCTATCAATATACAAATAAGTAACTTCATGTAACATGAGATTGACATGAGACAGAGATGTAAACCATCCAGTTTGAGACTATATCCTAATTAAAAAATCCAAATACATTAAGGAACCAAAATGTTTACCTCTGTATATAGGTAAAATTTTTTATATAACTGGTCAACATTCAAATACTGACAAGCCTTTTTTTAAGAATTAAAATAATTTTAATTAACCATACTGTAAAGAAAAATAGCATTTAACATACCTTAATCTTGAAATCTAAGATAAACTAAATCAAACAATGAGTAACTATTCTGCAAACTTACGTGCTTGCCTCCTTAATGCAGAATGGATATATTTTAAAATAGAAAATTATTCTGAGTAGAAATATAAGATCCAACTTCCTCTGATTTTATGACTATCTAATTAATAGCAGTTTGAGTCTAACATAATCACAAGTACAATGCAAAATAGTCTCATTAACTATTGAATTTTTTGAATAGTATCCACTACCTAATCTATATAGGTGAATAAGCATGTAATCAAATTGATGATTTAAAGTAACCATAGTTTAGCTGTTACTCTGCACTAAATTCAACCATTTTAAAATTCTGTGTCTAATATAAGAAAGTTTTAAAACTTATTTCACTTAGCAACACCGTGAAATAGAATTGTTCAATATATATGACATAGGTTTCCATAAAACTTCACATAAAGCTCTTAGGTCAAATAAACAGCATGAGATTCATTAAATTCAACAGTAACATAAAATACAGTATTTATACTGATCATTTATTACAAAACATAGTCCTTCCTGTGTAGACATTCTGAAGGTTACAATAGATAAGAAAGGCCAAGGAGCTTATGGTCTTGTAGGAGACAGAGAGGCTTATAAAAATTTCCATAATTAAACACATCAGATTATATGTTCCCCAAAAGGAGAGTGAGTAAGACAGAGAGACAGAGAGAGAGAGAGAGAGGCAGAAGAAGGTGGCGGGGGGTGGCGGGGGAGAGGAGAGGGGAGAAGACAGAGAACAATAAAACTGCATTACCTCCTTTTTCTTTTACAAGTCAAAAAAATTATTTTGATTACATTAAGGAGAAGGCCCCAATTCTGTGCTAATGATTTTTAACACATCTCCGCAACATCTGTTGTGAGCAAGAGGAAGAGACCAAAAATATTGAAGTTGTGAAGAAGAAGGATTTCATAAATATGATCAAGTAACAAATGACTGGCACACATACTAAGTGCTAAAAGGAGATCTTGAGTAGGAAACAATCACTGTAGCATAGAGTGCTAAGGGATGAAAGTGGGAAAACCGGGACTTGAATTTGGCTTTGGTAGATGAATAGGATTTCACCAAGTTAAAAATCACTTTTGGGTATGAATCAAATATTAAGAACTTGAATTTCCCATTTCTTTTATCACAGAGTTTAGATTGTAAGTCAGTGCAGTAGTTGAAAATACTATACAGTCAGAATTACCTTTAAAATGTTTATAAATTGTTCATGAAGCAAAACAAATATGATGACATCATGCAATAACTCATAGTCTCCAACAACGCAGAGAGAGCAGTATAAGGAGACAAGGGGAACAAGAAGCCTGAGTCCAGTGGCTTTCAGGATCCATTAGACTTTAAGAGAAAGAGGGAGGAGGGGCTGGAAGAGGTAGGGAGCTTGCTAAGGAAGCTCCAGTAAGGTTCAAGGCAAAAACAGGGGATTCTCAGTTGAAGCCTTATGAACCTAACAGGTGAGTCCTCAGAACATCAAAGGAAGAGCTGAGCTTCACCTAAAGAAAGAATGAGCATCAACCCAGCTAGTGGACCCACTGTGGCTAACACAAAGGAGAGAAATGGAAGCAGACCAAAGAGAGCTGGCAGGGAGAACCAAGACACTAAGTGTCAAGGGCATGCTAAATGAAGTCACCCACTCACAGGCTGGGGGAGAAAATGCCACAGGAGACCCATCTGGGCCACAAGAGGGAAGCGTGGAGAAGCAGAGGCTAAGAGGAACCAAAAGAGGAGTCTGAGAAAGGCTAAACATTTCTCCCTTTGAGTAAAAGGCATTAGTGTAAAGATCTGAGTGCTCTTGTCTAACACGGCTCTGTCAAGAGCCAGTTCTGCACAAGGTCTCCTTTCTTTATGTCCCCAGCTCCTAACACAGAACCTGCCACCTACTAGGTCCTCAATAAATTAACTGTTTAAGTAACAATGGACCAATGAGTACAAGCCCCCAAAAGGCTGATTTCAGAACAATATACAAGGGTTACTGACAGATGGAACTACCTTAGGAAACTGTGAGCCCTGTGCCAAAAGAGATATGCAAGCAAAGGCTGGATGTCTACCTAGCAGGGAGGTGGGTGTCTTCTCACACTTGACAGAGGTTGGAAAAGATTGCAGCAGAGGCTGCCGTACTCTAAAAGTCTATCAGTTCAGCTTAATAAGCACCTACCACAGGGCCTACTGTCAAGGAGCTTGCAATCTATTGCTTCTCATTAAAGAAGGAACTTTAGGTGTGCACAGCTGTAAGAGGAGAGGAAGGGAGGAGTGCCTACATTTATAACCAAATAAAAATACAGTTCCCCCTTTACTGATTCCACGGCCCAAAAAGTGATGTCCTGGTTTTAAATCCATGCAACTGGAAAGAGAAGGAAGTTGAGTAGTTTGCTCTCCTGCCAAGTCCACTCACAGGCAGAACAGTTTTGAAAGCAGATGGAATTACTGGTCCCTTTTACTGCCCTGACCTCACCTGCTACAATTCTCCCCTTCTGATACCTGCTCCACTCTAGATTCTTTGTCTTTGCTGTTCCTTTTGCCAGGCACACTCTTTCCCCCAGATAGCGGCATAGTTAACTCTCACATTTTCAAGTCTCTGCTCAAATGGCTATCTTTTCAATGGGCTCTACTTACTCCTCTATTAAAACTGCAGCCCCTCAATGTTGAATCCCCCTACCCTATTCTACTTCTTTTCTCCACAGGACAATTCTATTACTTAACATGCTAACATACTATATAACTTATCAAGTTTATAATTTGTCTCCTCCCTACAACAACTATAATGTAAACTCCACGAAAACAAGTATTTGTTTTATTCACTATTTTGTTCAAAGTTCTTAGAACAATCACTATAACATATAACGATCAATATAACATATAACACATATAACACTATTTTGTTCAAAGTTCTTAGAACAATCACTAAAACTCAATATGCATTTGTTAGATAAATGAACGCACACTGTCTAAAGTACAGCACAGAATAAAGAGACCATCTATTCATAAGAAATACACAAAAAGAGGCTCACATTGTAAACAGATACGCAGAAATTTCCCTGCACTGTTTGTCACTTGTTTTCCTTTTACATGTGATCACTCACAACATATATGCAGGCCCTGATGCATGCATCCATGTGTACACACACACATGCACACACACACATGTACACACACTCTTGTATGTTCTCTCAACTGCCCTCATGCACACTAATACTTACACAGAGCTAAGTATCTGCATTGAAAATTGTTTAAGTTAGATGGATGTATTAGGTTGGTGCAAAAAGTAATTGTGGTTTTTAAAACTGCAAAAACTGCAATTGCTTTTGCATCCATCTAAGTGCCACTCTACTGTCTGGCTCTAATGTCCTAATTACATAAATGCATTTATATTTAAATAATAGGTAATTGACTATAAGTTTACATCCTCTGTTTTAAGTTTCAAACACTTACTTTTATCTGTGCCACACTACTTTTCATTTTCTGTTGCCAGTTGGTCCAATAAATCAAAGACTCCTCAAACTGGTCCAAAGAACAAGTACTCAATGCTCTGAATTCCTTGACAGTTTGCTTTTTCTGTCTGCAAACATCACCTACAAAATATACCAAGGAAAGCTTTGTTAACACTAATAAAGTGTGTAAAATGATGATTTTTTTTCTACACAATGTACATTTGACCGCCTTATTTTTCTAAATCTATAAAACAAATATAATAACTAAATAATTTAAAAATCCTTAAGTAGTTACACATAATAATGTATACCTAACACATATAAGTAGAAAAAAAATCCATGAACAAGAGAGCAAATAGGTTTTATTCTAAGGACTAAGGGGAACAAAAGTTAATTGAAAAAGAGATGTCCTATAATTTTATTAAAAATGTTCTCACAGTGAGGGAAATATATACTTACATCATAAAATAGCAGTGTGGTATTATTTTTTTTAAAAACTGAGGAAACAATGACAGAAGGGAAACTCTATAAAAACTGAGTATAAAAATCCAATGTTTCTATATAGACTAAGAATGAAATACCCAATATCCTTGCAATAATGATCATTAAGAAATAAATATAATCCACATAGAAATTTAAGGTGCTAAACTACAATAATTATGTCTCAATGTGATCCATTAATGGCACAAAGCTTCAGATATATGCACATAGGAGAACTAAGTATTTGGCTCAGAATAAACCTAGTCATCAGCATTAAATCTAAAATTTTCAGATGTCTTTTAATATTCTAAGTAAATTTTAGTAATTTTGTGCAAGATGCTCAATTGATACTTGCATTCAAGTATTTTATTGGAAGTACATCTCTAAATGGTTTATAGTATAAGGCAATGAAATCCCAAAAATAAAATAGAAAACAAAATAAAAGGATTAAAAGATACAGAGAACGCAATGTGCTTAGTACCAAAATAACTGAATACAACTGGAAAAAAATTAATTTGAGTGTCAGAAGGGGTATAACAGATTATCTGGTCCAATTCTTTCTTTTAAAAGAGAACACTGAAAGTCAGATAAGCCATTTCAAATATAATTATAATAATTAAATTATAATACCAGTTAGACGTACAACTGGAAACCTACAATAAGGACACCCTGTTAAGTATTCCTTTCACCAGCACACATATACAAATAGTCTTGATATTATAAAGTGAGACAGAGCTGCTATCATTTAATGCAGATGGGGATGTATACAAATTACTAAGTCAAGAAATGTTTCTATTACCATGGTTGGCATGGTGTCACGGTTAGTAAAGGCAAACTTATCAATCTATAAAATATAACTGCAATCTAAAGCACATCACTGCTTATGTACGAGGCCTATAGTTAAATAGACAAATGTGAGTAACTTTACATAATATGCTTATTAATAGGCTCTTTCTTCAATTAGTTGCAGTTGTTTAGAAAGCTCAACCTTGTTTTTGGCTGGCAAGTTGTTCCCAAATCTTTTCTTTATGTATCTTTTTAAAGTGTATCAGCAATTTGGGAGGCCAAGGCGGGTGGATCACGAGGCCAGGAGATCGACATCATCCTGGGTAACATGGTGAAACCCCATCTCTACTAAAAAAAATACAAAAAATTAGCCAGGCTTAGTGGCGGGTGCCTGTAGTCCCAGCTACTCAGGAAGCTGAGGCAGGAGAATGGCACGAACCAGGGAGGCGGAGCTTACATTAAGCCGAGATTGCGCCACTGCACTCCAGCCTGGGTGACAGAGCAAGACTCCATCTCAAAAAAAAAAAAAAAAACACAACAACAAAAAAAGATTACTCTGGGTCCTAAATCCTAATGCCCACAGACTAGCCTATCTAGGACCTTATTATGCCCACAACTGTGACATTATCGTTTGAACTTAGTTTCAGAGTAACTTTTCCTACTGGATGCTATACCTTGGATAAATAATTGAGAAAATCCAAAATAAGTTATGTAAAACACTTCATAAAATCAGACTTTGTGACAGTAGCAGAGAGGAGAGGCATGTACCTCTAACTTTAACTGTCTATTCTGATACCATGCAAGAGTTACTATCTTAATAAGCCTATGTTATGAAAAGTCAAATAAAAAACGTGCTTCAAAGGGGAGAGGTTCGAGATTAGAAAGTTTCATATCTAGAAAAATTACACTATTTTCCCCTAAGAACTTAAATAATAAGGGTGTTTTGATTCCCAGGGCCACACTGGGTAGTTTATGTGGCACTTCTGAACAAGTTTTTAAAAACCGTAACTGAACTTCCATTTCTGAAATGGCTAGGAAGTTCCTACTGAACCCAATCCTTTCACCGATAACAACCATAAACTCCTGACAAAACATACAACATCCACCTGAAGGCACTGGAGAATGAACAAAAGCAGGCTCAGTCTAGAGGAGAGTAGATGCCCTGAAAAAGGAGTAATATGAGTGAGTTATCCCATTTAATATAGCTTTAGTCTGAGGGCAAGCTGCAGTCTGTACCACACAAGGGTGGCTAAAACTGATGAAAAGCAGAGTCTGAGACAACCACAGCTGCTGGAAACTGAGGGGGGACTCCAGGAGGGAAGACAGTCAGTGGAGGGGAACCCCATATGCTGGGTATAAATTGTTCCCACATCTCTATCTCTGAACCAACACATGTACAATACAGATTCCTGCCAAGAACTGAACTAAGATTTGAACTGTTGCTAAAGAGACTAGAGTTTGCAATTTAAGTCCAACCAAGTTAACTCCCTAAAAAGTTACCACTCCTTAGAGGAATGTAAGGAAACCAGAATCTCTGTAACATAAAAATAACAATATTCAGGAGACAATTAAAAATAACATTTTAAAAATGTGGCCCAATCTTAAGGGGAAAGACAATCAAAACAGATCAATGCCGAGATGACCCAGATCCTGGAATTAGTATACAAGGTTTTTAAAGCATGGTTTTTAAAACATATGGAACGATGCAAAGAAAAATATGTCTGGGAAATTTCAGCCAAGAGAAACGATAAAATAGAACCAAACAAATTCTAAAACTGAAAAATATATGAAATAAAAAATTCACTGAATACGCTTAACAGAATGGTTAATAGTTAAAAGCCAAAGATAAAGAGAAAAATCTTGAGAGCAGAAAAGAAAAAAACAACATATTATATACAAGGAAATAACAATTCAAATTACTGCTGACTTCTCATCAGAAACTAAATAGACCATGTTCTCACTTATATGAAGCTAAAAACTTACTGGATCTCATGAAGATAAAGCAGACTGGTGATTATCAGAGGCCGGAAAGGGGAGTGGGGTGTGGAGGATGAAGGAAATAAAAGGAGTATAAATGTTTTTATTACCACTGAACTGTACACTTAAACATGGTAAAGATGGTAAATTACATCTCTATATATTTTTATATTAAAAAATTTGAAAAAGAAATGAGAGAGACTTGAAAATAGTGAAACAATTTTTAAAAGTGTTAAAAGATAAAAAACAGTTAACCTAGAATTCCAGAAAAAGCACTCTTTAAAGGAAGACAAAATGAACACATTTACTGATTAAACAAAAAACAACTAAGAGAAACTAAGAGAACTTATTACCAGCAAACCTGCACTACAAAAAATGCTAAAATAAGTTCTTCAAGCTAAAGGGAAATGATACTAGATAGAAACTGTTTTTCAGAAAGAAATGAAGAACACTGTAAATGATACCTTTCTCAGGAAATACAAAATACTGTTTTATTTTAATTTATCTAAAATACATAGGACTCTTTACAGCAAAAATTATGTCTTAAGGGGTTATAATATATGTAGCCAGAGTATATGTATGTATAGTATACAGAATTAGTGACCAAAATGGATCTACACTATGCAATGTTTCTGTATCTTTTGTGAGGTGATACAATATCGACTCTAAGTAGCACATGAAAAGTTAAGGATATATATATACTGTTTCCTAGAGTAATGACTAAAAAAAAAATGTACAAAATATAGCTTAAAAGCCTACAAATTAAAATAGAATTTTAAAAATATTTAAAACAGAGGCTACCTCCTCCCTCACCTGAAGATGAGATCCCTGTAGGGATAACCCTTATCTCAGCTGGATTTTAGGACCATTTGCCTCAACAAGATGACTCTGTTTAAACCAAATTGCATGATTCTTTCCAAAGGTCCTGTTTTTAATGGCTATAAAGGTTTAGAGAGCCATAAAACTCAAAACTTTACTCGACTTACATCTGCTCAAAGATATTGGTATTTTTTTCCCTACCTCTACTAGCACAACCATTTAACATTTCTAACATATCCTTCACTACCTTTAAACCCAGTGTTATTTATACATACACTTGTTCCCCAACAAATAATACTTGCAGCACTTTTGTTATTTGCCCAGCATCTTTCTAGGCATTGGACAGGCAGCAATGAACTACTCCAACAAAATCTCCTGTTCACATGAAGTTTACATTCTAGGTATAAGAAACAAATCTATAACGATAAGCAAAACACTAAGCCACTCAAGCAAGGTGACAGGCTGGGTTTTTTGCCTACACATCAGTTTTAAATCACTACTTAACAGTGTAAAACTAGTTTGATATCACTATATTAAAAACAACCCAAATCAAGAAAAAAATGCATGAGAGGAGAATTACTTGTACATATATTGGGGCCCACCGCTGACTTACTAAATCAGAAAATGGGCAAGTACAGGAGAAACCCACACATACTTGATTTATGAAAGTATTCCCAAGGTAATTCCAAAATCCAACTTTTCCCCAAGTCTCCTCAGTTTTTCAATTCTACATAAGAAATAGGTTCTCAATTTGTTCTCAAACCATAAGCCACTTACGCAGAATAGAGAGACCCCACATCCTACCTACTTTATAGTGAAGAACTTAGTTGTAGATCAATTGAAAAGGGACACAGAAATTCCAAATGAATTAATTCTTAACAATTCACAGGTAAGAAGTGTTTTTTAAACCTGAGAAATTATGGCCACAATTTATAATTACTTATACAATCTTACTCGATCTTCATAATTACCCTGCTCTGGTGATTTTTTTTAAGCCATGTTTTTCAGTGAAACAAATGAAGCACAGCAAATTCAAGCAATTTGTCCAAGCAAATTACACCTAGTAAATGGCAGAAGCT